GAAATGAAAAGGTAAAAGTTTACTCTGTCTTCTAAATCTAAATCTGAAGAAGGTCCATATTACTCTGTTTCCTGGTTTAAGATTTTAATGTTGTTTTTTCATCAAAATAAAACGTACCTGCAGTTGAGTTAACACGCAAACCTTGCATATTTAGGCTGAGTTCTTCTCTCAAACAGAAAATACTCTGCTCCACCTTGTGATGTCATGTGGTAATACAGGAAGTGCTACACTGTGTTTTTAAACTCCATACACTTTCACTAGAATCATTTGAATAATTTCACCTTTTTTCACCCTGGAATTGTCCATCTCAACTGAACAAAATGACATCACATGGTGCAACAGAGCATTCTGGTGATATAGACCTGTTTTAGACCTGTTTTAGACCTGGTTTAGACCTGGTTTAAACTCCTGGTTTATTTCTGATTAAGAGGTGCGGCCCATGCGATGTACGAGGAGGGACAGTCCACCCAGCGTACCGGAGGGGGGCGACGTTCCTTGCGAAACACTGGAGGAGAGACGGTCTGTGTGGTGTACACGAGGGGGGAATGGTCCACGCGGGGTATGGGAGGGGGGGTTCGCGCTTTCACAGCCCAGTACCAAATGACCCATGGCTCGGTACCGGTTGGGGACCCTTGATATAGACAAACTAATAAACCAGGATTACTTAAACATGTGTGAATGCAACAAAGCACAACTCCAGATAGGGTTTTGAGGAGGTATCAGCATTATCACATGATTAAAGCTCACATGTCAGTTTTGTGTAATATAGGACCTCGAAGGTGGAGGGACTGCCGCCTACTTGTCACCATAGAGATGTTGTTGTTGTTGTTGCCTTGAATGTTTCACAGTATGGCATTAAATGTATACAGGTGGTGACGCTATCGGTCCAAGTTACAGGTCAGGGTCGTCGTGTGAGGAGTCCCACTCACAGTAAAAATTCATGTTTTTCCAGCAACAGCGATGGCACTAACAACTCCTAACTGAATAAATCCTGTCAGTCATGTTTAATGCCATAGTGTGGAACATTCCAGACAGTAGAAGAACATCCCCAAAGAGACAAAGCTGATGGAGGGTCTGCCACTTACAGTACTTATGATTACGAGTTTCTGTTGTTAGTTTAATAATTCTTAAGAAGCATATTTTCAAGTCAAATGCATTTAATTATGTTTTGTTATGGGTCAAACTACTAACCCTTTAGTGGGAGGGCAAATAATTACTAACTATGCCACTGTTGCATCATCTTCCACCTCTAAATTCACATGAACCACCCCTACATGTCCATCGCAGGATATGAAAGGGAGAATCAGTGGGATGTGATGTGTAGGACTTAAAAGAGTCATGTCTTGGGAAATGTGTCACTGTTTTGTTGGAGACCCTTACATCATTTTGTAAAATTTACTGCTTTGAAATATATAATTATTATATTTATACTCCATGGAGATGTTGCTTCACCTGAAATGTTCCACAGTATGAGATAAAACTACAAATCCATTGCATTTATTCAACTATAGGTGGTCATTCTGCTCAAAAATACCTTGAAAAACAGGCATTCTTACTGTGAATGGGCTCGCCTCTCCACAGATCTGACTTGTAACTTGGCCTGGTGGTGTCACCTTCTTCTCTCCATGGAGGTAACCCTATGAAAGTTCAATACCATACTGTGCAACATTCTAGGTAATCATCTCTGTGAAGACAATAATAGATAATGGACCCTTTAACAGAAAAGTAGCACAGTGTAACTTTTAACTTTATTATTTAGGGCAGGGGTCACCAAACTTTTTTCTCTGGGGGCCACATTATCGCTCCTGACTGCGATGGGGGCTGGGATCAGGTCGGCCGTATAACAGAATAGTTTGACCCTGACAACCCAGATTATATTCTCTGAAAACCGCCACACTTTCTTTACATACCAGACAAACTGCACGGTCCTTACACTGAACAAAAAAATAATCGCCCGACAGCTGTTTGAAAACTCGGCACTCTCTGTCAACTTTTTGTACTTTAACACTCAACATTTTGCTGTCCTTAAATGCACCGTTCTGCTCATGTGTTGACTGTCACTGTTTGATCTGCAGCTTGTCAGTTGATAAAAATTCGGTGGCAAATTCAGCTCCAAATGTAACTACGCCATATAATGATTTAAAATATAAATACTTCATATGAATATATATTTTTAATTGAAAAAAATCAACAAAATATAAGATGCAGATGTGTTATTATTTGCCAAAAAGGAATTAAAAAAAAAAATAGGCCATGACAGCTTTTGAGGATTGTCAAAGGGGGCTTTAGTTTGATGACCCCTGATTTAGGGAGATAGACAAGTTTAGTCTGTATATTACATGGTTTTCTGATCTGTTATAATGTTCTTTCCTCATCACAAACACACCTGGAGTTGTGTTTTGTTTCATTCACACAAATCCTGCATATTTAGGCCGAGTTCTTCTCTCAAGCTGAAGCAAAGGAGAAATTCAGTTGACTGGACCAAAGTTTATATGGTCAAATACGTATCGCAGCTCATCCAAGTTACTTCTTTAGTTCTGAACCGGATGAATTATGAATGAACGTATTCAACCATATAAAATTTCTCCTTTGCCATGGATTCTACCTGGACGACTCTCTGAAACACTCTGTTCCACCTTGTGATGTCAAGTGGCAATACTCCACTGTTGTTAAATTCCATACACCTTCGCTAGAATCATTTGGATAATTTCATCCCTGGAATCACCAGTCTCTACTCAACTAAAGGTAAAAAGTAGCTGTTAACTTGAAAACTACCACTTCATGACATCATGAGGTGGAACAGAGGATGTAGACAGACTAATAATCCAGGATTACTCAAACACGGTGAATGAAACAAAACAACTCCAGGTCTGTTTTTGAGGAGGTAACAACATTCTAACATAACTTAAAGCTCACAAGAGTCAATTTCACATAACATAGCACCTTTAATGCCATACTGAGAAACATTCTGGCAATAACAAAAACATAACCATGAAAACAAAAACTCACGTTGCACACCTCATGACTGTATTGTCTAAATGATTTGGCTGTATATTCCAATTACAGTATCTATTTATGGTACTTTTAATGTACGTGAGCATTAGCGTTTCCATTAGCGTCATTCCCTCCTCCCACTGTTCATCTGAGAGCAGCTTTTGGCCGTTAAATGTGTGGAAATACATGACTCCCCGGTCACCAACACTGCGGTTTGTTACTAAAGTGATGACTATAGCAGCTTTTATTGTGCCTGGATGCAGCTCTCATGGCCCTAGCAATGACATTAAACTGGTGATTTCGACTGCTTAAAGTTCATACGTGTAACAGGAGCTTTTAGCCAACAATTCTGCATAATAACGTTTTTGTAATGTGCAGCATGCCGAGGTTTCCGGAAAAGTTTGTCTGATGATTCTCTGGGGGTGTGATGCAAACTTTAAGCACTGCTCAGTCTGAAGCTCTGTTACTCAAGTTCGACTTTGATCTGAGTTTTATTTAAGCACACTCTGACCAGAAAGAGCTGATTTAGCTGGAACTACAAGAGGTGAGCTGATCTGTGAAGTTAAACAAGTCTCTTTTAAATAACATTACACTGGCCAACAGTTTTTCAGATAGTCACGCTCACTGATTCTCTTGTTGAAAATCAAACACCTAAACAGGACCATGAGCGCTCTTATTGATTACAGACTCCTGAAATGAGCTGTTTAAACCATTTTTTCTGCTTTCAGGAAATCTTAAACAATTTTTGTCTATGTTTGCTAATGTGTGCATTGTGTTATTATTCATTCATTTATCCAGTGGTTCACAAAGTGAGGTCTGGGGACACCTGGAGGATGTTAGGTCATGTGTCAAAAGCTGATAACACTGAACATTACTTGAATACTACAATGTTTCACAATATGCAATCTTAAACATACAATGTTTTAATGCAAACAATGAGTTCAATTAGTATATATTAGGAAAAATTAATCTTTCTTCCAAATTTGTTTTTAAGCACGACTTAATAGGGATGTAACACTTACCAAAATATCGTGATATCGTATTGTCAAAGTTCTCACAATAATATCGTGGACATCACAATATATCGAATTACAAGTCTCTTTGCTTAAATTAAGAGTTATGATGCAGCAATAGAGAAAACTACATAGACCATGATCCTTTGCTCCATTTTGGTGTAGACTACGAGAAGAAATAACAGTTCTAAGCACTTTTAAGTCTTGGTTCTTTGGAATAAATCTTGTCAAGGCATTTTAAAAGGAAAAAGAAGAATATTTACAGTTTTGTTAACCTTCCCAAAATATCACAATAAATATCTTACCGTGAGATGTATGTCATGAAAATATTGTGTAAATATTGTGAGAGATTTGGATATTGTTACTTCCCTAATTGTGAGCCTCCTCACCATATTGTGAGCTTTCCCACAACATCACAATAAATATTGTACTGTGAGGTTCATACAGTGACGATATCGTATTGTGAGACTTGGATATCAATATCATTGTAATACCATTTTGGGGACCGACAGGGGGCCCTTTGAATATGTCGATAACTGTTTCCTGGCCTCAAAAGGTTTGAGAACCCTTTGATTAGACTCATTCAAAAGCGACTGCTAATCTGCACCATGGGCCAATCCAACCACCATTACTCACTCACATACCACATTTATGCATCAACAAGATATGTGAAGTGTGGTTGTATTTTACTTACTTAATTAAGGCAATCATAGGACCCATCTCCACATCGTTTTCCTAGATGTAGAAGAAAGTTACTATCAATAATTTCTTTACAACCAATTTAACACAGACAAAAGAAATCTTAACTCAAGTCAATTTACACATTTATTAACATGTCTATATTTCATCATACATTAATTTAGTCTAGTAATAATCTGTAGCAGCGTCCAGCACTAAACATTTTTGTACTAATATATATTTTCTTCAGCACTTTACAAGAAAAGAAGTCATAATTTGACTAACTGAAGACAAAACAAAAAAATCTCCACACATAACTGTACATAATTTAAGAGTTCATTTCTCACTGACACCAGTTTCTTGATTTGGCGATATGGTTGCTTCTAACTCAGTCTTGTTATTCGTACTTGACCCACTATCTTCTGTTACAGGACTACTGCCCCCTGGTGGACACTGGACTTGCACTTCTTTTGAGACTTCAGTTGTGGGTTTTGATGCTCGTTCTTGTTGTAATTTTGCAGTTTTAGATAAAATTATGCAGGCTTGAGCAGAGCTTGGTTTCCGAAGCTCGACTCCTTTGACTTCGACTCCTTCGGCTGTTGGTTTTTTGTACTGTCTTCTGAGGAGGACGATCACAGCAATGATGAAGATGTAAGAAGATCCACTTAGTACTGTGATGAGACCCAGAAAGATGATCCTGCCAAGAGGAAAAGCACAGATGGAACTTTTACTTTTGTCTAAAATACTAAACTGGCAAATAACATTCAACAAGTAGAAACATTTTCCAACTCCAAAGCTCAAAATGCTCCGTTCCACTTTGTGATGTCATGTAGTGGTAGTTTTCAAGTTCACAGCTACCTTTAACCTTTTGTTCAGTAGAGATTGCAATTCCAGGCCTAAAATTATCCGGATGATTTAATGAAGGTGTATGGAGTTTAAAAACACAGTGGTGCACTTCTTGTATTACCACATGACATCACAAGGTGGAACAGAGTCTTTCTAGTTTGATAGAAGAACTTAAATATGCGAGGCTTGTGTGTTAAACATGTGTGAATGAAACAAAACACAGCTCCAAGTTTGTTTTTTGATGAGGAAACAACATTATAACATGGAACAGAAAATAGGTTAATATAGGTCCTTTAACAATATTCAAATACAGTGTTTTTGTTGTATATTTGTACCTGTACATATCAGAGTCATAGATGCGACAGGCTCCTCTTCCTCCACACTTTTTAACAGCCCATTTTAAACAAGTCGAGTCAATCAAAGCTCCAAAATACACAGGGGCAGGAATCCCACCTAGAAACACAACATACAGTATTTCACTCATTTATCTTACCATATTATTTTAAATAGGAGTTGAAATGTTTCACTTTCACCCAGATTTAAAGGTGCACTAGGTAACTTCAAAGGTGGAAGGTCCACTACTTGCTTGTCTCCATGGAGACGTTATTTCTTTGCATGGAATGTTCCATAGTATGGCATTAAACAAATCTGTCTAGCATTTATTAGATCACAGGTGCATTATAGCTCAAAAATACCTTATTAATTCTTACAGTGTGCAGGATTGCTTCTCATAGAGCTCACTATTAACTTGTCTCCATTGTGATAACCAAATTTATTTCCATACTGTGAAATAATCAAGGCAAAGCAGTAACATTTCCATGGAGACAAGTAGGTGGCACACCCTCCACCAGAAAAGTTGTGCAGTGCACCTTTAAGGACAGGTGTGAATGAAGCCTAATTTAAAGCACTCCCATATCGCTTCCAAACTCCTCACTGTAACTACAGTCTACTACAATCTAAGCCCATACCATTGAAATATGAAGTGTAAGAAAGGGCTTCTATCTCACCAAGAGTCCTTGAGACCAGTATTTCTACCCCGAGAGCCAGAGATTTGAGCTCAGGAACAATGCATCTGCAAGAACAAAGTTGATTATAGAAAGCAAAACAAACTACAAAATGGATTTTCAGAGGTGTACTACAAAGCTAATTGGACAGTCAGGCTTCAATTCAGTGAGCTGGCTTCTCAAAGCTTCAATCTCTGCTAACAAGTGTCACGAAGCTGGTTAGAGACGTGTTTGCAAAGCTAAGCTGTACTGATCACTCATGTTCAGAAAGAGAGACAGAAGGACAGATCTGTTTTATAACAGACCTATTCTTGAATAATTTATTTTCAAGATGCCATTTTGGTGATTAACCCCCATTTATCAGCCTATGCCCCCTACTCTGTACTTAGTTTATTTTTTATCAAATTGTAATTTTTTTTTAAACAAGTAGGATTTGGCAGCATCATGTAGTCATTTTGGTTCAAATTAAAAAATCTGCAGCTTGCTACCATGATGTGCAGCTAGCCATCTGAGGTACTGAGTCTTTGTTGTGATGACGTCTATGGCAACGTCAGCTTCCCCTGGGCACCACAGTTTTCTAACACGGGAGTCACCAGATTTCTTTATGTTATTAAGCCATTTTAGATGAATATTTCAATTTAAAATGTCCAAATTAGAATATAAGGATCCCTTGGTGTCGAAGATTATAAATATATAGCAGACACAGGCATAATAGGTCTTCTTTAACTCTGAATCTGCATCAGACCAGGTTATCTCTGTTTCCTTTGTTACCATAGTGCTATAACCTGACTGAACAGTGACCCAGCTTAGCCCCCAGTCTCCCTTCGTACTACAGCCCTGAGCAGTGCGAGTGCAGACCTGATAATGACCATGTATCCAGGAGTGAACCCCAGAGACATGATGAAGGAGCTGAGCACGGACACAGCCATGTACGACTTAAAGCTCCGGGTGCAGTCTTTGGCGTGAGGACACTGGCCCAGCTTTACCGAGCTGCTGCTGCCCGCCGGGTACGACATGTCCACACAGCTGCAGTTATTAAACACCTGGGCAAGAAAGAAGAATAAAAGAAAATAAGAAATATGAATATAAGAAATAACAATGTAAGAATATAAGAAATAACAAATGACAAATGTGTCGATAATCACACATTTACAAAAGGTTTACAAAAGATGAACATAAGTGCATTTAGATAAAAACAAAGGACAATGTGTTTTCAATTGACAGTTTCTTTAAAAATATAGCTCAAATTAAAGTGTAACAGAGCCTCAGACAGAGCAGTACCTATTGTTAGCATCAGATCCCCAGATGACATCAGTTGCAAAGTGTCAGTATCAGATGTATGCATTATTATTATGTTTACAGTGTTCTTGCCGTATCCAGAGGAGCTGATGCAGCCGGCCAAACAGGGGGAGACATATGTAATGCCATTGTCTGAACACACGGGGTCCCACTCTTCAGTCGAGCACATGCAGTCACTGTTACAGTCCGACAGGAGAGAGCCGCCCTGCTGGATGCCATGGGTACTGCGGGGAAAGCATACATGGAGCATTATAACCTTAACAATAACCATAGTGTACAGGAATATCTGTGCAGAATACAGACTGGAAACCAAAACGGTAGTGAAGAAAACCCAAGACAAGATTCTGAATGAAACTCTAGGTATGTTTATGATGAGGAAACAATAATATAGATCAGAAAATAGCGTAATATGCGCCCTTTAAAATGAGAACTTTAAAGGTACATTATGTAACTTTTCTGGTAAAGGGCCCATCAGTTGTTCGTTTCCATGAACATGAGATTGCTTTGCCTGCAGTGTTCCAAAGTATGGCATTAAACTTATCAATCTCCATAGAGGTAAGCAAGAGATGCCACCAGGCCAATTTACAGGTGAGAGGTCAGTGTGTATATTTTTTAAGGGATTTTTAAGTCAGTTTCACTTCGTGGAAACCAGCTGACCTCGCAGCATTAGGATTTGTTCGCTCGACGGTAGGCGGGTACTTTTTTTATTTACCCAATCGCTGCTATTTGGTCTTGACGTATGTAATGCGCCAAATCCCGTAGGAGGAAAGGCAATAACGTTTTTCCCCTTGATAAAATTCGCCATTCTCTTTATTCCAGCTTTAAATTCTCGATCTCGGGAATCGTTGCCAACACAGAATGTATGTCTTCGTCTACATCCATCTCGACCACTTTGTTTACTGTTGTGCTGAACCACAAGACAGGTGCTTGAGTTTGACATCATGGCTTCACAGCTCTTTGCTGATTGGCTGGTGCGTGGTCTACAACTTCCAGGGTTCTTACAAACCGTCTAGTGTATTCAGATTCCTGACCTAGTCGCTGGAGAGCAATGAAATTGAGCGGAGGCACTAGATGGCGACAGTGGCTAGTGAACCCCCTAACCTGAAAAGTTACACAGTGCTATTTTCAATGGAATCCTATTGTTAAACATAAATCACATATCTAATCGCAATCGCAATCAGACTTCCTGTCAGAATAATCTCAATCAGATATTTTTCTCATTTTGTTCAGCCCTATAGCACACCATGTTTAATCTGATGAATATTTTTTAAGGTTCTGACCCGTTGTAGGACACAGTGAGTCCGGCCACAGGGATATTGTCACACTTGGTCCCAAACTGCAGCAGGATCAGTAGATAGGCCATGAAGGAGGAGGCGAAGGAAAGCTGTGCCCCCGAGACGATACTCAGCTTGTACCTCTTCATCAGGAGACCTCCTAAGAAGATCCCCAGAGCCACAGCGGGTAGATTCAGCACTCCTGCGAAACACAACACAGCTTCAGAGGTGAGACTATATTAGACAGCCACAATAATTACTATATCAAGCTATTGTTCAATATATGAGAACTGGAAATATTTATGGTGGACTTCCAGGGAAATTGTGGTTATTTTTTTGGTTATACAATAAGATGTAAGCTGTAAAATGTTTATATATAATAAATGTTTTCATAAAAATAAGAAAAACAAGCAAGAAACACAAATTCAAATCATATATTGTCAACATAAAGTTTTTGTCACTTCTACACTTGTCACAGTGAAAAGAGTAACCAAAAAGTACCAAAGAGTACTGTTACCAAAAATAGTATGAAAGTATGCTGCTAGAAAAATACTCTGAGAAGATTTTTTCACTAGTAGATGGCAGATGTGAAACCTGCTTCCCCCTCCCCTCACCTGGTCCCTCACCTTGCCTGTGCTCTTTGATCTTCTGTCAAAGCTGGCTCATAGTAAGTTTACACCGTATCATCGTATCAGAAACTGCATCCAGACACATTGTTTCTGTGTCTGTTCCCTAGCCACACAGTTACACGAAACCGCCTGAAACGCTAGTCACATGGCTAGGTTGGCATCATGACGTCACGTGGACAGTAAAAACAAGGGAGTGTCTGAAGTTGCAGCAGCCAATTTCGAGCCGAGGAAGATGGCAAGCGTGAAAGTAGTAAGTAATGCTAGCTACGCTGTTTCCTGTATGTGGTTTGTTTAAACAGTTTTCTGCAATAACATCACATGACCGATGTCACAAACCCAGCGAATCAGGAAGGTGTAAGTCTTGTGATGTGGTCCAATAAGGACGGCAAATAGAGCTTCTTGCATCTGCAACAAAAGCGACTCGAATACGTACTAGTGTGAATGGGGCCAAACATAGACTACATCTAGTGGTCAAGTGTGAGAATACAATAAGTGAAGGTCGCCAGTCTAATTACAGAGGGTAGCTTTAAAGCACAAATATGGTTGATGATTACTAAAACTAAACTCAAGTACAATTGTACTTGCACTAAAATTGCCCAAATGACTAGAAACAGTAGATAATGCAATTAAAACACCATACAAACCATATATAGCTGCAAAAAAGTGGATTTGGTGTTTAGTTTCACTTTAAATGCTTAAATTCATTTATGAATTGGTTTACAAATAATTTTGGAAATAAATGTTCCAAAAATTTTTCCTACAGACTTTTCAAAAAATGTAAATATAAAGAGTTCAAAGATATTGCAGAGATAATCAGCTACATGTTAACTAATATCCATAATGCAGTTGTTTAAAGTTCTGCAAAATGTGTTTCAATAACAGAACCAGATTTTAAATTTAAAAATTGGTCAGTTTCCATTTACAGTATTAGCCATGAGCAAGCTCTTTGGAAACATGAGTAAGCTTTTTGGAAAGTCTATGAGGAAAAATTACTGGGAAGCCAGGAAGGGGGGGAGCAAGCATTGTTGAGCTTCACACAAAGACAATTTACCAATGAGAAAGTTGGCTCTAGATGCAGACTGTCCAAACTGCTGCTCGATGTATTTGGCTGTGAAAGTGATGAATCCGATTAGAGAGTTGAACCTCAGGACACTGCCACAAATCAGCAGGAAGTAGGTGGGAGTCCCCAACAGACGCTTCAGAGATGGTAAGAAGGCTGCAGACAGAGACACGCATTATAATAGAACAACCTGGTGATTATGCTGCTCGTTATGTAACCGTCGAAGGAGGGTAGAGAAGTTAAAGATTGCTTAAAGGTTCTATATTACTCAAAATCGACTTTTTTAAAGCTTTCTGCCATGTTAGAATGTTGTTGCTTCATCAAAAACAACATACATGTTTTGTTTCTTTCACACATGTTTGAGTAACCCTGCTTTATTAGTCTGTCCACACCTCCAAAGCTCAAAATGCTCTGTTCCACCTTGTGATGTCATGATTGAAGCAATAGTTTTCAAGTTACCTGTTATTCTTAACTTTAGTTCAGTAGAGATTGGCAATGCCAGAGCTCAAATTATCCAAATGATTCGAATGAAAGTGTATGGAGCATAAAAACACAGTATTACCTATTAATATTACCACAAGGTATCACAATGTGGAACTCAGTGTTTTCTGTTTGCAAGTAGAACTCAGCCTAAATATGCAGATTGTGTGTAGTGTTGCATTTATAAAACGTGTAGTTAATAAAATAGAAAACAATATGACCATTAATTATGTAGCCAGACAAGCCTGTCTCTCCTAGTCTGATTCATCAGCCGGTTTCACCTCATAGCAACTGTTTGACCTCACAGCATTAGGATTTGTTCGCTCGATGGTAGGCGGATACTTTTTTTATTTAACCAATCGCTATTTGGTCGTGACGTATGTAATGCGCCAAATGCTGTAGAAAGAAGGGCAATAACGTCTTTGCCCTTGATAAAATTCACCAAACATTCTCTTTGTTCCGCCATTCAATCCTCGATCTCGGGAACAACACAGAATGTATGGCTTTGTCTACATCCTTCTTGACCACTTTGTTTACTGTTGTGCTGTTCCACAAAAGGGACCCAGTCATGGCTTCACAGCTCTTCGCTGATTGGCCGGTACACGGTCTACAACTTCCAGGGTTCTAGTGTATTCCAGTTCCTGACCTAGTTGCTGGAGAGAAATGAAACTCTCTGTTCAAAAGTGAGAGGGTCTGGGGTCGTGCTCACAGCTAATCATTTATATTTCACGTTTTGAGGTGATCCAGTCACATCCAATAATTTTTTCCACAAATATTCTTGCGCATTTAAAACAAAATATAACCTCATATTGCCAGCATTTAGTGATTTTTGCATTTATTTAACCTATCACTAGTCTGTGCTGTTTCTCAGTATTCTATGTTTTGTTTTTTCCTTTTTTTAATACTTAACCATTTTGTTTGTTTTGACACAGATAATCTTTAAACTTTTGGCAGTATTTGCTAATGTGTGCATTGTGATACCATGGTAACTTTCCGCAAATACACAGACACAGAACACCCGCAATGTGATGTCAGTACAGAGTGTCAATTTCACAAATTTTCCTTACCTTTAGCTATGTCTTTGAGTTTTAAATCTTGCTTCTGGTCCAGGACAGCTTCAGCCCCGCACTCAGACACAGAGGTGGGTGTTGTTTTGTCCTCTTGTTTGGACAGAGAGCGCGGCAGGAACCAGAACGGGATACTGGAGATGAGGAGAAGTCCAGAGCAAACCAGGAATCCCAGCCACCACGCCCCCACCCACCGCGAGTCTTTGGGGGTGATCAACACGCTGTCTGGGGACACAGGGAAATCTCACTCAACAGTACAAAGACAAACAATCTATATGTACATTAGAGGTAGGTGATTTGGTACAAAAATTTACCAAATCACAGACCTGGAGTTGTCTTTTGTGACAACTCTAGGTCTGTTTGTGATGAGAAAACAACATTATATCATAGTTCAAAAAATAGCCTAATATAAAAATTTATCTTTAATATGGATCTTAGTATTGATTTCAAGAACATAAAAAATACAGCCTTAATTTATCCCATTTAACACACACACACACACACAAAATCCTCCAAAGTCTGCTCCAAACCACATGCTTTTACTGACAGAGGCTTGGCTGTGGACCTCTCTATTCCAAACCCTATAAACCATTGTTTCCCAAAGACTGGGTTGTGACCCTCAGGTGTGTTGCAAGAGATTTTTTTGTGGGTCATCTTGTCACAATCTGCATGTCCGTCTGCAATATACGGGTCTGGTCTGTGACCTTATTGTCATTCTGGATAAGCATTTCGTCAGAGTATCCTGTCCTCAGCATGGCCAGTAATTCTATTCTTTTTCCTCTTACCACTACTATATATTTGTGTGAATCTGGATTTTCTGTGCTCACAAAACTGACGACAAAGCACAGAAACAGACTGAATGCTGCGCCTTATCTGTGTGTTGCACTCTCCTCCTGCACCCCAGACTGTAACACGCTACAAAAACGCAAACAGGCCCACCTATCTCATTAGAAATGTTGAAATATTAAGATATGTTTTGTATAATTTCTAATCTTTTCAATTATTTTAATGACTATTTTGTTCCAATGTTGCTGGTTCAATTGAAATGTTGAAAAGAAAAAGAAATGGGCTACATTTAATGTCCAAATAGGTGACTTATGGATCCTTTTATTGCTGGTTCAATGACTGTTTTTTATTGTTTAAATCTTGAGTAATAATAATTGTTCAGAGAGACATGATCACTCAGTCACCAGTAAAATGTCCTCATGAATGTTCAATAATGGTCAAATCCACCTTTATTTTGTGATAATGTCTATTGACTTAGGTTGTGAAGGTTTGTGACTTTTAAAATATAGGTCCCCAGAAAACATTGTTATACACCATATCATTGACAATTAGACATGATTTATTCACAATCTCTCATTTGCCGATACAGCCCTATAAATTAAGAGTGTACTTTTCTTACCCATATCCACAAATCCAATGTCCACATAGAGTTTGGCACAAAGCGAGCCCAACAGGAAACCAAACATGGGTCCAAGGATCGTAATGGTCTGGAGACAAGCTGTCAGTCACAACAACATTACAAAGTCAATGCAGAATAAAGTATATTTACGACAAATTTAACCCAAATGTGACTAAAATTGAGTGCAAAGGGGTACTGATTTGAAAAGAGGCTGCATGAGTGAAACAAAACAAATTCCAGGTCTGTTTTGATGAGAAAACAACATTACAACATGGTTACAGCTCTCGTACCGATATAGAATGGCGAGTTCTCAGCTTCAGCGAAGTCGTCGATGTAGGAGATTCCCAGAGGCATGACAGGGGACTCTCCGATCCCACGCAAGGCATTTCCCAGGAACATGTACACCCACATGGAGGAGCTGGAGTCTCTCACACAGGCCTCTAAGTGCACAGAACAGTTATGTATGAGATTATATGAAACCCAGTGTCTGTATATGTCCTAATAATAACCCTACTGAATGAACGGCAGCCTAACATCAAGCCAAATCCTTCCACCTCCATATAATGTACCAACAAAGTAAATTTTGTTCACTAACATACTGTACTTGGTCCATTTTGTAATATTTCTATAGACATATAACATCAACTAAACAAAAATGAAACAAGTGAACACTATAGATCCAAATTCCCAGTGAAACAATAACATGTAATGTGATATAAGTAGGGATGTAGCGATATCCAAATTTCTCGGTACGATATTTTCACTATGTGCATCTCACAGTATGATGATTATTGCGATATTTTGTAGAAGACCTCTGTTGGTCCATTGTCGTCAGTGTCAGTGTTAGTGTCAGTGTCAGTGTCAGTGTCAGTGTTTTGTTTTGTCTCAATTTACTTTTGATTTTTGTGTCTTTTTGTTTGTTATTTGAGAACTTCAATTGCAATCCTGCATTTTGGCAGTCTGATCGATCAGCCGGTTTTACTTTGTGGAAACCGTTTGACTTTGCAGAATTAGAATTCATTCACTCGACAGTAGGTGGGTACTTTTTTATTTTAACCAATCGCTGCCATTTGGTCGTGACGTATGTAATGGGCCACTAACGGGGCTAACTGGTATATTAAGTTTTTCCCAAATCCTGTAAGAAGAAGGGCAATAACGTCGTTCCCCTTGATAAAATTCACCAAACATTATCTTTGTTCCAGCTTTAAACCCTCGATCTCGGGAATCGTTGCCAAAACAGAATGTCTGTCTTCATCTATATCCATCTCGACGTTTTGTTTACTGTTGTGCTGTACCACAAAAGGGACCCAGACAGGCGCTTGAGTTTGACGTCATGGCTTCACAGCTCTTTGCTGATTCGCTGGTGCCCGGAGTCGCACTTCCAGGGTTCTTGCAAACCATTTAGTGCATTCCAATTCCTGACCTAGTTGCTGGAGAGAAATGAAATTGAGTGGAGGCACTAGGTGGCGCCTGGCTGGCTAGTAATGTACTCTCAGAGCAAATTAAAACAAAGCAGATGCATGTGAAGAGACAACCAAAAACGTCACTTCTTTCTAGTAATTCTAGTTTCAGTAGGAAATCTATGGGAAACCTCGATATTTCCATTTACTTTGGGATATACTGAGAATATATTGAAGTTACATATATTTATATTTATAACCAACTCCCCTTTATTTGATGGACTTCACAGATATAAACAGATGCTTGAATAACATTATGACCCTAATATGAAGTTTTTGTTGAAATGGCTCAAGATTTTCTCTGTGTCCATAAAGCCTGAAGCAAAGCACTGATACACTAACATAATACATTCTTAGAGAGAAAATGATTACATCTGGCAACAAAATGAAAAGCACTGTTACTTTGACTGAGAGTGGGTTCGGAAAGAGCTCCTTCTGTACAGACCGTGGTGCAAATCCAATTATCAAAAATATATTACTAAGCCTGCTACTAAGAGTTTTTGTAATATCTGATCATGGTCATCTCCAACTATTGTTCAATCTATTTTACTTCCATTTCCATATCAGCTACGCCAGTAAGGATGTCACACTACCAAATGTTAGTGTTAAAAACAACAAAAATTCAATGATTAGTCACAATTGTCAACCCCATGACCAAACGAGAGAGTAATATATTTCTGTGGGGTATTAACTGCTAACACATAACATATTTAGATCACGTGTTACCTTTTATTGTTTTGAGAATGCTATATTTGCCAAAAACAACAGATTAACATGGTTAATTCAGTTTTGTTTTTGAGTTACAGTGTACTGTTTTATATCATGCTTTTGTAATGTATATTTGTGGAAATTGCAGTGTAGGGCAGAGTCTTTGACAGGAATAGGACCCAGGAGAGATCTCTAGATTAGTCAAACATGCACGGATGACATATACAACCTCTTCAGCATGTTTTTAACAGCAACAATGTTATAACACGGTATATAAGTTTGTATAGTAAATCTGGAGCCGAGTTTCAAATTTTTCATTGTCGGTGATAATCTAAACTGGGAAGAGCATGCTGACCAGAAAAATTTATAAATCTCTTGGTATTATAAGAAACGTTTGTAAATTCCTGGACTCAAAATTTATACTTACATTATACTTTAGTCTAATTTATCCCTACCTGTCATATTGTAATATAATCTGAGCAAGCACTTTCTCAAATACTCTGAAAAAAATTCTGTAGGTGTAAAAACATTTAGTTCGAATTGCAGCTCATTCTTTGCCACTAACATCATCTTCAAATTTATTCATCAAACTTAACATTCTTAATATTTATGAGATTAATATGTATCAAATTTGTATTTTTATGTATAAAATTCTTCAGTACTTAAATTTTACTTGCATTTTACTTTAAAACCAATGCAGAGATTCATAGATACAATATATGTCAAAATCTTAATTTTCATGTTCGAAAATGTGTCACATCAAGAGCTCAGTTTTGCCGACGATACAGAGGCTGTAAATTGTGGAGCCAGTTTTCACATCTGGTTAGTGACAGCAGATCAGGCGATGTTTAAAAAGAGTGTGAGGAAATGTTTGATATTTCATGATAATGTTTGATAATCATTCAGGCTCAGCAGGGGCTGGGCACAATGCTGTCAATCAAAAGTGTTCCTAAAATTAGTGGGAGCGACCTCCAGGAAAGAAGTTAATAAATGTTCAAAAATAAAAACACCGGGAACATACAAAGCAGGTTAATATGAACATTTTAAGATCAAAATGACAAGTGTGACAGCAGCAGATACAAAGTGAAGGGTGACAGTTTTCTAATAGAATGTGAATTACAGTTACATGGTCACTTCCTGTTTGGCGGTGGCTAGTGGGTTAGCTCTGCCTATTTACATTTACAGTCAATGATAACTGCAGAGGACTCCAAGTTCCACCAGAAGCTGTCCACCAATACCACTCTGCCTGGAATGTTCCACAGTATGACTTAAACAGCTCTACCTTACATTTGGGCCCAGTCAAGCAGAAGTAAACAGCAAGGCCAAAAATTCAAGTTAATGCATCTGATATAAAAATGTACTCAACAGATAACACATGTACTCTAGTTTATGAAATTGTTTACCTTTTTTCTGTACCATTTTTGGTTCTAAAGTTACATTTGTTTTAAACAGACCATGTATGAAACATGGAACAAAAATTATTTCCCAAATTTCAAAGACCTGCAAATCATGTAAATAAACTGATGTATTTCATCATATCTTGTGTTATTTTCTTTGAAATGTTGATGAAGGTACATGATTTTTCCAAAAAAAATGTATTTAAAATGATAAAAAATTTGCTTGGAAGGACTGACATATTTTATAGAAATAGTTTCCTTTCATTTTGAAGTAATATTAAAGTATTCGGAAGAAAAAAGCTGAGAAATTATGCAAAATCATGCATTTTCTACTTGCTTGCACAATTTTCCCTCCGTTACTTTTCCCTCCGTTACCATGACCTTTCTTAATAAAAAATGTCATTACTCAAAAAGTAAGAGGTTTTTCAACCTAATCTTGTACCATATGGTAGAAAACTATATGAAGCAAATATTCAAACCAGTTTGTTAAGGATATGTAAGTGAGAACAGCTAGTTATCACTGTTTGAATTTATTGCCCAAAAAGTGCTGCATATTTCATTCCCTCCGTTACCGACATGAGTTTTTAAATTTTTTGTCAACAACTTGAAAAAATGTCGCAGGTTTAACTTTACCCTGTTGGAGTGTTAACTCTTTCCTACATTCTGTTACCTTACTTATTTCAATAGTCCCTCTAGTTTCTGAATAAGAGCTATTTGAGTGTAAAAAATCTGCCTGCTTCCCTCCGTTACCGCTTGACCGGACCCATTTACAGATGGTTTAAAGCTCAAAATACCTAAAAAAGAAAAAAAAAAAACCAAAAAAAACCAGGCATTCTAACTGTGAGTGGGGTTGCCTGTCCACATATCTGACCTGTAACTTGGCCTGGTTTAATCTCTATGAAGATAGAATTAATAAGATTTAAGATTTAATGCCATACTGTGAAACATTCCAGACAAAGCAATAACATGACCACTAACACCAGAACACAATGGACCCTTAATTTTGCTTCTAAAATTCTCATAATTGTTATTTTATACAATTCGTTATGGTAGGGGGGGTACTTTTTTATCATTTAACCAATCGGTAGTCACATATGTAACGCGCCGCTAATGAGGCTAACTGGTATATTAAGCTTTTCCCAAATCCCCTAGGATGAAGGGCAATAACGTCTTTCCCCTTGATAAAATTCACCAAACATTCTCTTTGTGCTGGCTTTAAATCCTCGATCTTGGGAATCACTGCCAACACAGAATGTATGGCTTTTTGCTGACTGGCCGGTGCCCAAACTTGCACATCCGGGGTTTTTGCAAACCGTCTAGTGTATTTTGATTCCTGACCTAGTTGCTGAAGAGAAATGAAATTGAGCTGAGGCACAAGGTGGCACCAGCCTGGCTAAATCTTGTGACCTGAATAATCACAATTAATTTTAACATCCTGTCTCACCAGTAGTTTCACCTGGCCAGCAAATTAAACAGACTTTTCTTGTACAAATAAACAGATCTACTCATATTATCTTCATTGTGCTCTGTTATGGAAGTCTGACTAAAATCTGGGCTAATCCCGGTAAACAGGGCAGAGGGTCAGTCCTGGATCAGTGCATTCTTGGCATAGTTGGACAAAAGCCAGTGAGTTATGGTTCTTAATCAGATTCAATATAAGGTTGAATTCCTTTGTGCAACTCTGGTGACTATGTGTTTGCAAATCAGCTCACAAAGAACATTTTGAGACACTATAACCCTAAAAACGTGTCTTTAAATTTCTATAGACTTATGTAGGCTTTTCACAGAAAACATTACAATAAATACCTGCAGAAAATGTTAGTATTTAACAGTCCTATATTGTACAAAATAGACTCTAGTGCATCTTGTTACCTCCTCAAAAACATAAGTGGAGTTGTGCTTTGTTTCATTCACACATATTATTCTTTATTATTAGTCTGTCTACATTTCCAAAGCTCAAAATGCTCCGTTCCACTTTGTGATGTTATGCAGTGAAAGTTTTTCAAGTTAACAGCAGAGATTGGCAATTTGAGATCTGAAATGATCCAAATGATTCTAGTGAAGGTGTCTGCAGTTTAAAATACAGTGAAGCACTTCCTGTATTACCACATGACATCACAAGGTGGTACAGAGTGTTTTCTGCTTGAGAGAAGAACTAAATTTGCCGGGTTTGTGAGTTAAACACATGTGAATGAAACAAAACACAACTCCAGGTTTGTTTGTGATGAGGAAACAACATTATGACAGGTTAGAAAATAGAATAATATGGGTTCTTTAATTTAATAATGAAAAAGACTTTATTCCACAGACACAGTAAAGCATAATGCTAATAAAGGCTTTTAGTATACTTGACTATCATGGGGAAGTTGATAGGAGGAGTCTTAAGGGCTTAGACTCAGACCCTCTTTCTAATAAATAATAAATGGGGCCCATGTCCTTCTCGCTCTGGGTCCCCAAAAAAAGCATTTGACACCTGTGAATTACTATCTTATACTTATCAGAATAAATAAATAAACAAATAAAGAAAGAAAGAAATACAAAAACATTACCCAGCTGCGCAAATAAGTGCACATTCTATCCATATATGAATTTGTCTCCCTACACTCTCTGGGTTAATGAGACAGACTTAGACCCCCTTTGAACCCTTATTTATTTTAAATATTTGTGATTATTTTATTATTAAGAAAGATTACTACTCACATTTTTACTTTTAGTGTGTCTGTGTCTGTGACTGTAAGTGTTTGTACCTTTGTCCTCTTCCCCTGGAGTCTGGGTCTGAAGCTCCGGCTCCATCAGAGGGTCCACACAGGCAGCCACACTCACACTGTGGTTCTGAAAATTCTGAACCACTGAGCTGTACTCGTATCTGACGAACACAACAGAGACAGAAGAGTTAGGGCGGCAGTAGCTCAGTTGGTAGAGCATTCGCCCACTGATCTAAAGGTTGGTGGTTCGAATCCAGCTCTCAACATAAACATCACAGGTTGAGCGTCAGATCCACTGACCAGGTTGGCTGGTGTGATTCCAGGTCCCACAGATGAATGCTGTCGTTGTGTCCTTGGGCAAGACACTTAACCCACCTTGCCCACAGTGTCTGCGTACACTGGTGTGTGAATGTGTGTGTGAATGGGTGAGTGGTTCCTTGTTGTAAAGCGCTTTGAGTGCCTTGAAGGTGGAAAAGCGCTATAGAAAAATGTGACCATTTACCATAGATTTTGTAACCTTTTTGAAAAGTGCTATATACTTATATACTTTTATAATCATAGTGCTTTTGATGGTCATACATATGTAGTTTTAGTGAACTGAAACAAATGAACTTAGCCACGAAAGAAATACTGTAACTACAATGATGCATTGTATAGCCAGAGGATTATTCATTCACTCCACATTCTGTGGTAAGGTACAATTGTAGCCACAGGTGCCCTGGGACAGACTGATGGAAATGAGGCTGGTCAGAGGCCCCTCCAATCCCTATACCAGTCACTCATTCACACATTCATACTAAGCGAGACACAACAACAGTTTGCATTGAAGCCACTGCTGCCCTAGCCTGATTCATCAGCTGGTTTCACTTCATGGAAACCGTCTGACCTCGCAGCATTAGGATTCATTCGCTCAGCGGTAGGCGGGTACTTTTTTATTTAACCAGTCACTGCTATTTGGTCTTGAAGTATGTAATGCACCAAATCCCGTAGGAAGAAGGGCAATAACACCTTTCCCCTTGATAAAATTCACCAAACATTCTCTTTCATAGAATGTCTGGCTTCGTCTACATCCATCTCGACCGCTTTGTTTACTGTTGCTGTACCACAAAAGGGACCCAGACAGGCGCTTGAGTTTAACGTCATGGCTTCACAGCTCTTCGCTGATTGGCCGGTGCGCAGTCTACAACTTCTGGTGTTCTTGCAAACCATCTAGTGTATTCTGATTCCTGACCTAGTTCCTGGAGAGAAATGAAACTGAGTGGAGGCACTAGGTGGCGCCAGCCTTGCTGCTGCTCTCCTACTGAGGCACCTAATTCCCAATGGTCTCCCATCTCAGTACTGACCAGACCCAACCCTTAAACCTAGGCTTCTGAGATCTGTGGATATTGGGCATTTGACCTCCAGAAACATTACACAGTGCACCTTTTTGAATATTTACCGTCCCATGAAGAAGTGGGTCAGTCCAGTGAGCAGGGACCCTATGGCCATCAGAGTGCAGCCAGCAGCTATCAGCCTGGGCCGGTGCAGTTTGGCCCCAAAATGGCTGACCACAGCTAACAATAACAGGTTACCTACAACAACAAGAGAAGAGGTCAGGGGGTTTCACTGGGAGTTCATGAACCAATATTAGGTTGTACTGAACCCTTATGAAGCCTATCATTTAAAATGAGGTGGAGGACAGGTCAATACTTTGTTGCCTTTCAAATCCAGAATGATTTCTCTCTGTATTCTTTATTCGTAGGGATATCAGTCAGGTCACCTCCAGCAAAAATTTAATATGATCAAGATTTGTGTTTTTTTCAGTGGCACATTGGTCATCCATCATTTTAAATACAATTACATTTCTCTCAACTCCATTTAACAGAGTTTAATGCTTTGCTCATTGATTCTGCAGAAAAAAAAAATCATTCCCTTGAAATATATTTTATATATTATTTTTTTCTTTTTTCTTTGTAAACAGCCATATTTATATTTATAAGAATGGACCAATGCAGTTCTCTGATTGGCTAATCCACCTGTCAATCACACTCACCATCATCAGACTCACATTTTTGTATTGAAAAAGTGTCTTTTCTGATTTCCAGGCAAACAAAAACAGTACATCTCTCACAGAGTTACATAGGCACTAGCCCACCATCTGAGATAATGGCATCTAGTACAAGAACACAGCTTGTTGTAGGACATCAGCGCAGACAGTGAGTACCCATTTCAAAGCTGCCGTCAATGAGTCCGACGTGGGAGGTGGAGAGGTCAAAGCGTCGCTCGATCTGAGTGATGGAGCTCTTCATGTACGAGCCAGTCATCGCTTTGGAGAAGAATGAAAATGACAGCGCCATAAGGAACAACTGGGAAAACAAAGCACAAGAAATATGCAAGTTTATGAGCTTATGAGTTCAATATTTTGATTGAACTGCTTTAAAAAGTTAGACATTTCTGTGATTCAAATGACATTACAGAGTTGTGTTGATGTATTTGCTATTCTGACATTTGATTTTGATTTTTTATTTTTGTCAGCTTTGATAAGATCCTATTTTATTTAGAAATGTGTACATTTATTTAAATGATACTTTGCAAAAATGTTTGAATATACTGAATGGTTTTAGACCAAATCAATGCACTCCTGGTCCCAGATTCATATGTATAAAATGTGAATATTAACAGTGGACTGCACTAAACAAGAGCTGTGGTCACTGTGAAGCCACTATAATACATTATGAAGTAAGTTTGATTTTTTTTGGAAAGCCACAATCAGAAACTGCATGCAACTGTACAAAATAATTTCAAATGCTGCAACACAGAATCCCAATTGATACTTGATGATATCATGGTGGAAGTGTTCTACATTTATATCTATAAGTGGGATGCTCAGCAGTTACCATGGTGACACAACACACACATTGCAAACACAGACAAAAATGTTTTAAGATCATCTGAAAACTCAAGAAAAAATACAAAATTGATTTAAGTAACACATTTTCAGAAGCCTACGATCAGCATGAGCGTTCATAAACTTTAGAAATTAGATTTGGTTATTGTTACAGATTTTTTTATTTTTTATGTGTGAGACACTTGTTTAAGCTCACAAACCATCTACCCCTCAGTCAGCTCTTTCTCGTCAAATTGCGTTAAAATAAAGCTCAGATAAAGTGTAACGTGAGGAACAAAGCTTCTAACACTGTGTTCAGGCTTCAAAATTGCGCTAAACGCCTCTAGTTGGACGCCTCTTCGTTTAAGGGCAGACGCTTGAAATGTGTTGACACGCAGCAAATTTCAAAAGTTCAGATCCTTCAACTCTGGCATCTGACGTCTGTGGCATTGATGCTCAAACGCTGGACCTGCCTCGACATGCATCCCCATAGACTTTACGTGTAAATCCTACACCCCTGATGCCACAGTGTAAACAGAACGTAACACACAGCAAGTAGCGCTTTCAGTTTGCATCACACCCCAAGGAAAAGTTATAACAAAGTATAATTGGTGAACATGATTGAACTTTGGTTGAACTTTGAACATTTCGCTTTGAAAATGTAACTTCTGTTGTGAGGGGAGGTGTGTCAGAATAAAAAAGACAGATCTGAAAGTATATGCCACAATATTGGGACCTTCTGAATCTTTCTATCCCATTAACTGCTGATTACCGATGACTGTACTACTGCAATCACATTTAATATTCAATACACCTTTTACAGGACACTGTCATGAGTAAAATGACCCAGAAACTGATTTGAACTGGATCTGAAGTGTTCCTACATTTTGGGCAAAACACCAAAATAAGGCAAAGATGCGTTTGAAGTGACAATAAACTATTATAGTTTTTTTTTTTTTTTTTCGCAGATTGATGTTTTCTACAAAGACTTTTTAAACTGAAACGATCCCTAGTACAGTTACACAACACAACAGCTAAGACACATTAAAGGGCACATACACGCTGTGTTCTGATCTGTGTTATATCAAAAACACAACCCCGAATTGTGTTTTGTTTCATTCACACATGTTTAACAAACATATTAACCCTGCATATTTAGGCTGAGTTCTCCTCTCAAACAGAAAACACTCTGTTCCACATTGTGATGTCATGTGATAATACAGGAAGTGCTCCACTGTTTTTTTTTTAAACCCCATACACCTTCGTTAGAACCATGTGGATGATTTCAGACCCGGAATATCCAATCTCTACAGAGCAAAAGGTAAAAGGTGCTATTAATTTAAAAATGACTACTACATGACGTCACAAGATGGAACATAGCATTTGGAGCTAGAAACTAATAATAAACCTTAAAAGCTGCACTATGTAACTTTTCTGGTGAGTAGACAGTAAATGGCATTACACTTATCTATTTGGCATTATTAAAGTCCAGGTGTTTGTAGCCTGATTCATCAGTCAGTTTGACTTCGTAGAAACTGTCTGACCTCGCAGCGTTAGGATTCATTTGCTCGACAGTAGGCGGGTACTTTTTTATTTAACCAATTGCTGCTATTTGGTCATGACGTATGTAATGCGCTGCTAATGGGGCTAACTGGTATATTAAGCTTTTCCCAAATCCCGTAGGAAAAAGGGCAATAATGTCTTTTCCCTTGATAAAATTCACCAAACATTCTCTTTGTTCCTGCTTTAAATCTTCGATCTTGGGAATTGTTGCCAACACACAATGTATGGCTCTTCGCTGATTGGCTGGGGAACTTGCACTTCCGGGGTTCTTGCAAACCGTCTAGTGTATTTTGATTCCTGACTTAGTCGCTGGAGAGAAATGAAATTGAGCAGAGGCACTAGGTGGCACCAGCCTGACTAGGTGTTTTTAAGCCTATTGCTCAGAAACACCATGAAAATATACATTCCTACTCTCCGCTCCACAGATCTGACATGTAACTTGAGGTGGTGTTTGTCTCCATTAAGATATATACATTTAATACAATACTTTCCAGGCAAAGGTCTGGATTTAATTGCATCTCCATGGAGACAAGCACCAAGCAGATCCTCCATCAGAAAAGTTACATAGTGCACCTTTAAAATTCACATTAGATAATAACTAAAGAATGGGAAATAGAAAGCCAGTGCATTCAAAGCGCGGTCTTACTTTGAGCGTGGAGAGGCAGGTTTTTTTGGGGGTCCCTGGGGGGGCACAGAGGGCCTGCTGGCTGGTCATTCTGCCTCTGTCCTCAGTTTCCTCCATTATTCTAGACTGTGTTCTTCACCTGAAGGGAGGAAAGAAGAGAATTACAAGTTTTAGACAAATACACAATGTTTGTATTCCCTTGTGTTTGTAAATGCAAAAGGTTTTCTGAGGCAATGTGTATTTTAAACATGGCTTCTTTTTAATGTCTTTTGCCTAAACACAAGCTTCATGTTGTTATTATTATTACAACTGTATTTATAGCAAACTGAATATTTCCATTTGAATTCAATTTATTAAACTATATGACACTTAAATGTTCACTGTGTAACTTTTCTTCTGGGGCTATACCTGCTTGGAAAAAATGGGTCATTGTCTGGATTGTTCCACAGTATGGCATTAAAGGGACAGTTCGGAATTTTGGACATAGGACCTCATTTCCTAGTTATCCAGAGTGTTGGAGACGTGTGGAGACACTTTTTTAAATATTCCATCCAGTCCTTGTATTTGCAGAGGTCGCTAGTGCTAGGCTAGTGCATGTCAATGGCCATAGTTATCCTGCCACTAAAAACAGTCTTTCCCACTCCACAAAACACCCGAAGTAAATCTGTTATTACACCAGACTGTCGATGTCTGTGTTGATAGAATAATTTTAGAAGTAAAACCAACCTTGCATTTGAAGGATTTATGTCTGAGCAGCAGCAGCAAATTGTACTTCCTGATAGAAAGCTTGGTAGCGGCAGACTGATATATGAGAAAATAGTCCCTCAACATGCGATAATTCATGCGATGCAAGGTTAGTTTTATTTCAGACATTATTCTATCAACACATTTTACATTTACATCGACAGTCTGAAGTAATAATAGATTTGCATCAGGTGCTTTGTGGAGTGGATACGTTTTTAGTGGCAGGATAACTATGACCATTGACATGCACTAGCCTAGCAGCAGCGACCTCTGCAAATACAAGGACTGGATGGAATATTTAAAAAGTGTCTCCACACGTCTCCAACACTCTGGCTCACTAGGAAATTAGGTCCTATGTCCAAAACTCCAAACTGTCCCTTTAAACTCTCCATGGACACAAATAGTTGTGTCCCTAGACCTGGTTTTACAGTTCAGATCTGTGGAGAGGCAGTCGTACTTTGAGTAAGAATGCATGATTTGCAAAGTATTTTCAAACAATAAAAACACCTGTAATTGAATCTGTGCAAGAAAGATATTTTTAAACTCATACTGTGGAACATTCTAGGCAAAGCAGCAACATCGTCATGGAAACAGACTCTGACCTACACTTGAAAAGTTACGCGGTGCACATTTAATGGTTCAATATGATGGTTCGAGATCTAAATGTAAGCCTTTTTAATGACACATTTTTATTTAGTTATATGTTCTTATTACTAAAAAATACACTCTTGTACTAATAAAAATATTAAAATTTCAATTTCTTTACAGTTAAAATGAAACAAAACACTTTTCCTGATTTGACTAATTATTTAGAATCAATAGAGAAAAAAAAATGAATACCACTTACTTGGTATTCTCTGGTCTCCTTTAGTCCTTCAGTCACTATCAGGATTTGAACACAGTATTCATTTCCTCTTCTGTATGAGCTGCTGAAAAGTTGACACAATGTTAAACTGCATTTTTGTATCTTTCTAATTCTTCTGGCTCCAACTCGAGTTATTGGCCAGACACAAAACAAGTCTTTCTTTTTCTATTTCATCTTATCAAAATAGATACACTGTTCACACCAGGTCAAAATGTGATGTTCACTTAAAAAAAGATAAAAGACAACATGTCATTTACAGATAGTCCTTGAAAGTATCTTGATAAAAATACCTACCACTTCTCCACAAATCTTCAACTTATTTCTTCAATTTGCCATGTCTGGACTGGAGTCTTCGGTTTCAAAACTCAAAACCCCCCAGCTTGAATTGCACTATCCCGGGCCAGTTTTACAGGGACAAAAGGCCTTCCACATTTCTATTCCACACACAAAATGTCCAGTCCAGGAGGGGGCGGAGACCAGTGGAGACCAGTGGAGACAGGGGCCAGGGGGAGGGCTGCACTGGGGCAGATTAGTATCCTTTGGTGCATAGTTTCTCAAACCTCCCACCTTACCTCAGGAGGGAGGTAAGGTGGGAGGGCTCGTGATTTGAAAGTGTTTTGTGTATTATTAAAGGTGCACTGTAGAACTTTTCTGGTGAATCGGCAGATACGCACTTGCCTCATTTTATTTATTTTATTTATTTGGTTTATTTAGCAGGAATAGTGTGCATTAATCAATATTTTTGTAAATGTAGCAGAATTAGCGAGGCTATTTTCAACCGTAGTCCCTGGACACCGTAAAAACACCAGCCAGAACCACACACTCTGACAAAACTCTACAAAGACGAGTCGATCTGGAGCCGTATCCTGTTTCCTTGATTTCAGAGTGTGTGATTGACAGGTGCATTAACCAATCAGAGAGACACACGATCTGTTCGCAAACAAACATGGCTGCTTACACATAAACAAAGGGAAATAACAACATAGAGGACGGAAAAACAGTGTGCATTTTTGCAGAATAAACAATCAATGCACCAAACCATGATTTACTTCAGGTAAAAGAAGTGATATATTTTGTTCTGAATGTTACGAGAATTTTGGAGAGGAGATGTTTTCTTGTGCTTGAGCAACTGTGGTTGGATCATCAAAAATTTGGATGGAGGTTTTTGGTACTCTATGGTCTGGGTCCACACACTTTTGGATTCAAACAGAATGCAGAAGTGTCTGGCTCCTCAAGAAATAAAAACACAACAATAAGAGTTATACAAAGCAGTTCAGCTAAAAGGCAGTGAGAATACAGACAGAGAGGTGTTATTGCATTGAGTGAACAGTTCCACAGTATGGCATTAAACTTATTTGTCTCAATGCAGACAAGCAAGTGACACCACCAGGGCAGATTATAAGTCAGATCTGTGGAAAGGTGACAATGCTCAGATGCTCTCAGTAAGAATTCAGTTTTTTAAGGTGAGTTTGAGGAATACAAATACCTATAGTTCAGTAAATGCAAATCAAATACAATAATTTTCAGGTAGCTTGAAAAACATGCATTCTTATGTGAGTGGGGTTGCCTCTCCACAGATCTGACCTGTATATTTGCCTTGTGATTACCTTCTTGTAGTCTTGTGTAAAATTCAGTAGCATTTGGTCAGAGCAGTCAAGGCAAACACTGGTTGACCAATAAAATCTAAAATCATCATGTAAAAATATAATTAAAGTGTTTTGAATTATATCCAAATAATCCAGTTTTCCCTTCACTTCTGTTTAAAACATGGTTGTATTCATGGTGTCTTTTAGTGCCCTCTACTGGTCAATGAGCAGACTGCAACTTGTGCACCTGCGTTGTTTTGCTTTTCTTAAAAATGTGGCTTTCTACGTGTGTTTTTAGAAGCCAGCTGTTTTAGAGGCTTGCACATGAGTACTGAAGACCACATTGATACTTTGATGATAATAAAAAAACAAAAAATACTATTCGTTTAGACAAGAGAATTCAACACAATACTGTATTTTATATTACCACGTGGTCTTATATCTGAGTCTTACACTAGAAACTGATCCCTGTCCATATTTTTGATGATGGGTGGTCAAAAAGTCACATATATCTGCCTCTGAGTTTGTAAAACAGATTGAGCCCCCCTGTTGTTTGTAGGAGTCTGTGCATAGGGCACAGCCAGACAGTTTATAGCCAGAAAAGGGTTTGCTGAAATGGAAACAGATCTAATCCCATCTCATATTTGTCATGTTGGGTGGTCAATAGTCCCGTGCATGTGACTCTGAGAACCAGAACAAAAATTCATAACTGAAGAATGTTTTGGCAAGACCACACAGTGAGCTTTATCATCCCTTTTCAAAAGAATAAGATTAAAGTTACAATATGTACATTTTCCAGGGGTAGAATCCGCCTTTTGCTTGTCAGCACTGAGGTGTTATAGCTTTTCCTGTAATATTCAAGAATATGGGATTAAATGTATTTATCTCTATGGAGAAAAGCAGGTGATGCCACTAGGCCAAATTACAGGTCAGGTCTGTGGAGAGATGCCCCACTCACAGAAAGAATTGTAGAATAAAACGGTAACTGGCTGAATTCAAGCTGATTTAAGATAGTAATTCAATGTTCTATGCCTACAGTATAACTACAGGATCACTACAGCATAACTTGTAGAGGTTTATCAGATTTAACCTTTCCTCTCCTGTGTTCCTGTGTTTCCACTTGATGTTTCATTCACTCATTTAGATGAAAACAGCACTGCCTACTGGTGACTGCAGGTGTTGCAAAGGCAAACTTGTTGCTGTCATTTTGTGGTAAAGGTTAGAAAACAGAACTACTATTAAAATGGAGACTCATTGACCATGTGTTGAATCATGGCAGTGCACGGTAAGATTTCACATCCAATGTTTTTAATACTTTTCAGGAACATATAAATGTGTACAAATGTATAAAAACACATTACAAATCATTTGAATCAGAAATACTTTTGTCAAAAGGACAGTCTGTGATTGGACAGGGCTTGGCAGTGGAGCCACACACTCTTGACTGTTTAAACACATGTCCATGACCTTTCTACTGAGTGAGGATGTAACTTTTGTTTCCGGTAAAAAGCTTTCTGAGAAACCACTGACCCTCGAGTCATGAAGGAGAATGTAATACAACAGCCTCATGTTCTACACATGTGCTAATGTGGGGCAGAGACTGTGTCTGAGGTAATACAGAGGGATTATTTGATGCTTTCTTCTCAGTTTAAGTGGGACATTCTGATTATCTTCACTAATGACTCATAAGATCATGATTACCTCCATATAAACAGAGATAGTGATAGTGCACAAGTTTCACACAAACACTTGAACATATCTTACTAAACCACATATACTTTATACCATATACTATAAAACGACTCTCATTGGGGTGCATTCTCTGCAAGAAATTTTAGATTAAAAATTCGGCCTGGTCACAACAATTTGTCTCCAAAATATTCTACTGCTACCATTGTACTTCTACTATTGTGATTTTAATGTATTTCTTATTCTGTAAAGCAATTTTAATTACTTTGTGTACAAATTGTGCTATACAAATAAACTTGCCTTGCCTTGCTTTGCCTACTACAATTCACATTTGTTTCGGGTAATATTTGTAAATGATTAACAAAACTTTAGGTATTTTGTAAACTGTTTTGTGCATATGGGTATTCCCTCACAGCACTTAGAGATGTGTAACTGTTGTAACCAGGAATGACAACATTATTGCTAAATTGTGTTTACGATAATTGCTTTTGAATTGACCTTTGAAATAAAACACTGTAATAGATGTAATATGACTTTTTGGTAAAGAGGTATAATGCTTAAACACCAGAGGGCGCTGTCACTGTACCATTGCCTTGTCTGGTCCAGTTGGAAAGCAGCAGAATTCACAGTTAAATAGTGCTCTCTTTGTCTTTGTCTGTGTTTTGGGTGAGGGTGATTTGGGCGTGTCCCATGGGTGCTCCGTTAGCTCCATCCAGTCCATTCTCTTTCTCCTGTTGCCTCAGAGCTAATTTATTCTGTCTCCTCACGATACAACAATACAGGACACCCCACAGAGAGTTGCCCACAGCGTACAGACCAGTCACCAGCCCCAAGAAAATCATCCTGCAAAAGAGACAGTGAAAACAGTGAAAACCGTGCAAAAAACACACACAGAGTCAATGGAAAAGAGACGTTTTAGTTGCTACTTTACAACAGAGGTGGGACCAAGTTCTTGTTTTGCAAGTCTCAAGTAGGTCTCAAGTCTTTGACCTCAAGTCCAAGTCAAGTCCCAACGTTGATGATAGAATTGTTTTGGTGATTGAATTGTTTTAGTTGGACAGGGCAGCGTTGAGTTGACACAGAACTAAATTACGCGCTTAAAATTTAGGAGCACTGCAAAAAACCATGGCTTTGACGCTCTCAAAATGACAGATCGTTCAGCCCTAATCAGAAAATAGCATAATATGAGTCTTTAGTTTATTAAACATAACGTTAAACAAAACGTTGTTTTTTTTTTGTTAACAGGGCACTATGAAACCTTTTGCTTGTTTCTATGTGCCTGGAATGTCCCATAGTATGACATTAAACATCTCCCTTACATTTATTCAATTACAGGTCGTTTTGTAGCTCAAAAATATTCCCTAGAAAAACAGGCATTCTGACTGTGAGAGGGATTGCTTCTCCACAGATCTGACCTGTAATTTGGTCTGGTTTGCAAGAAAGTTTAATATCACGCTGATGTTTTTGTGCTCCTCCTTGAACCGTCACCTTATCGTGGTGGAGGGGTTTGAGTGCCCGAATGATCCCAGGAGCTATGTTGTCGGGGGCTTCATGCCCCTGGTAGGGTCACCCAAGGCAAACAGGTCCGGGGGGACAGGTCAGACGAAGAACAGTTCAGAAGCCCCTATGATGAGTACACCAACAAGGCCAGTTACGTCGCACGGATTGGCGTCACCAGGGCCTCACCCTGGAGCCAGGCCTGGGGTGGGTGCTCGCCAGCGAGCGCCTGGTGGCCGAGCCTCCCCCCACGGGGCTCGGCCGGGCTCAGCCCGAAGGAGCGACGTGGGGCCGTCCTCACGTGGGCCCACCACCCGCAGGAGGATCCATATGGGGCCGGTGCAGAGAGATCTGGGCAGCAGTCGACGGCGGGGGCCTCGGCGACCGGATCTCCGGACATGGAGACTAGCTCTGGGGACATGGAATGTCACCTCGCTGGGGGGGAAGGAGCCTGAGCTTGTGCGGGAGGTTGAGCGTTACCGACTAGATATAGTCGGCCTCACCTCCACGCACAGTTTGGGCTCTGGAACCCAACTCCTTGAGAGGGGCTGGACTCTCCATTTCTCTGGCGTTGGCCGCGGGGAGCGGCGGCGGGCTGGTGTGGGCCTGCTCATTGCCCCACAGCTCAGTCGCTGTGTGTTGGAGTTCACCCCGGTGAACGAGAGGGTCGCGTCCCTGCGCCTTCGGGTCGGGGACAGGTCTCTCACTGTGGTGTCGGCCTACGGGCCGAACAGCAGTGCTGAGTACCCGGCCTTCTTGGAGTCCTTGGGAGGGGTACTAGACAGTGCACCGACCGGGGACTCCGTTGTTCTCCTGGGGGACTTCAACGCCCACGTGGGCAACGACAGTGACACTTGGAGAGGGTGATTGGGAGGAACGGCCTCCCCGATCTGAACCCGAGCGGGTGTTTTGTTATTGGACTTCTGTGCTAGTCACAGTTTGTCCATAACGAACACCATGTTCGAGCACAAGGGTGTCCATAAGTGCACGTGGCACCAGGACACCCTAGGCCGGAGGTCGATGATCGACTTTGTCGTCGTGTCATCTGATCTCCGGCCGCGTGTCTTGGACACTCGGGTGAAGAGAGGGGCTGAGCTGTCAACTGATCACCACCTGGTTGTGAGTTGGGTTCGCTGGCGGAGGAGGAAGCCGGAAAGACCTGGCAGGCCCAAGCGTGTAGTGAGGGTCTGTTGGGAACGTCTGGCGGAGCCCTCTGTCAGAGGGACCTTCAACTCGCACCTCCGGGAGGACTTCTCCCGGATTCCGGGGGAGGCTGGAGATATGGAGTCCGAGTGGGCTTCATTCTCGGCCTCTATTGTCAATGCAGCTGCTCGGAGCTGTGGGCGTAAGGTCTGTGGTGCCTGTCGCGGCGGCAACCCCAGAACCCGGTGGTGGACACCGGAAGTAAGGGATGCTGTCAAGCTGAAGAAGGAGTCCTATCGGGCCTTGCTGGCTCGGGGGACTCCTGAGGCAGCTGACGGGTACCGGCGGGCCAAGCGTGCTGCAGCCCGTGTGGTCGCGGAGGCAAAAACTCGGAGCTGGGAGGAGTTCGGGGAGGCCATGGAGAAGGACTATCGGACGGCCTCAAAGAGATTCTGGCAAACCGTCCGGCGCCTCAGGAGGGGAAAGCAGTTCTTCACCAACACTGTTTACAGTGCGGGGGGAGAGCTGCTGACCTCGACTGGGGACGTTGTCCGGCGGTGGAAGGAATACTTTGAGGATCTCCTCAATCCCACCGTCACGTCCTCCGAGGAGGAGGCCGAGGCTGGGGACTCGGAGGCGGACTCATCCATCACCCTGGCCGAAGTCACTGAGGTGGTTGGCAAGCTCCTTGGTGGCAAGGCTCCGGGGTTGGATGAGATCCGTCCTGAGTACCTGAAGTCTCTGGATGTTGTGGGGCTGTCTTGGCTGACACGCCTCTTCAACATCGCGTGGCGGTCGGGGACAGTACCTCTGGACTGGCAAACCGGGGTGGTGGTCCCTCTGTATAAGAAGGGGGACCGGAGGGTGTGTTCCAACTATAGGGGGATCACACTTCCTCAGCCTTCCCGGTAAGGTCTATGCCAGGGTACTGGAGAGGAGAAATCCGGCCGATAGTCGAACCTCGGATTCAGGAGGAGCAGTGTGGTTTTCGTCCTGGCCGTGGAACACTGGACCAGCTCTACACTCTCCATAGGGTGCTCGAGGGTTCATGGGAGTTTGCCCAACCAGTCCACATGTGTTTTGTGGATCTGGAGAAGGCATTCGACCGTGTCCCTCGTGGTGTCCTGTGGGGGGTGCTCTGGGAGTATGGGGTCCGGGGCCCTTTGCTAAGGGCTGTCCGGTCCCTGTATGACCGGAGCAGGAGCTGTGTTCGCATTGCCGGCAGTAAGTCAGACCTGTTCCCGGTGCATGTTGGACTCCGCCAGGGCTGCCCTTTGTCACCGGTTCTGTTCATTGTATTTATGGACAGAATTTCTAGGCGCAGTCAGGGGCCGGAGGGGGTCCGGTTTGGGGACCACAGGATTTCATCTCTGCTGTTTGCGGATGATGTTGTCCTGTTGGCTTCATCGAACCAGGACCTGCAATGTGCACTGGGGCGGTTTGCAGCCGAGTGTGAAGCGGCTGGGATGAAGATCAGCTCTTCCAAGTCCGAGGCCATGGTTCTCGACCGGAAAAAGGTGGCTTGCCCTCTCCGGGTGGGTGGGGAGTCTTTGCCTCAAGTGGAGGAGTTCAAGTATCTCGGGGTCTTGTTCACGAGTGAGGGAAGGACGGAACGTGAGATTGACAGGCGGATCGGTGCAGCTTCGGCAGTGATGCGGTCGCTGTATCGGACCGTTGTGGTGAAGAGGGAGCTGAGTCGAAAGGCGAAGCTCTCGATTTACCGGTCAGTCTTCGTTCCTACTCTCACCTATGGTCATGAGCTCTGGGTAGTGACCGAAAGGACGAGATCGCGGATACAAGCGCTCGAAATGAGTTTCCTCCGCAGGGTGGCTGGGCGCTCCCTTAGAGATAGGGTGAGGAGCTCAGTCACACGGGAGGAGCTCGGAGTAGAGCCGCTGCTCCTCCACGTCGAGAGGAGCCAGTTGAGGTGGCTCGGGCATCTGTTCCGGATGCCTCCTGGGCGCCTCCCTCGGGAGGTGTTCCGGGCATGTCCCACCGGGAGGAGGCCCCGGGGAAGACCCAGGACACGCTGGAGGGACTATGTCTCTGGTCTGGCCTGGGAACGCCTCGGGGTCCCCCCGGAGGAGCTGGAGGACGTGTCTGGGGTGAAGGAAGTCTGGGAGTCCCTGCTTAGGCTGCTCCCCCCGCGACCCGGCCCCAGATAAGCGGACGAAAATGGATGGATGGATGGATGGATGTTTTTGTGGTTACATACAGTTTTGAACAGAGCACAAAGCAATTTTGATAATCTTATATTGTACAATGATTAAACATAGATTAACACTTTAAATGACTTAATGTCTCATGACCCAAAAAATTCTATAACAGAAATATTCCAGACCAAGCAGTAACATCTCCATGGAGAAAAGCATTTGACACACCCACCACCAGAAAAGTTACACAATGCACCTTTAGCTGCTATGACAACAGTCCGACTTTTTCATTAATCTGAAACTCATTGTAGAGATGCTTCAGAGCCATATTCTGTACAGCAGTGTTTCCCAAAGACTGGGTCATGACCCTCAGGTGGGTCGCAAGAGATTTTTTTGGGGGTTTCCTTGTCACGATCTGCATGTAGGTCTGTAATATACAGTTCTGACACATGAGAGAGCGAGTGAGTCAGTGAATCTTATCTGCTTGCCCTGAACGAGTGTTCCTGCTGCTAAAGTTAAGAAATACTTTGGTTGTCCAAAGAGAAGGGTGATAAATCAACAAAGGTCAGTGCATTTCAGGATAGGTATGGATACCTTTTATTGCTAGTTCAATTACTGTTATTTTGTGATGTACGAATAATGTCAATTCACTTGGGTTACAAAGGTTTGTGACTTTTAAAATATGGGTCCCCAGAAAAAACGTTTGGGAAACACTGCTGTACAGTGTTAGCCAGGCTGATGCCACTTAGTACCTGCGCTCAGTTTCATTTCTCTCCAGTGACTAGGTCAGGAATCTGAATACACTAGACGGTTTACAAGAACCCCGGAAGGGCACCAGCCAATCAGTGATCTGACTTTAGATCAAAGAGAATGTTTGGTGAATTTTATCAAGGGGAAAGACATTATTCCCCCTCTTCCTACAGGATTTGGGAAAAGCTTAATGTACCAGTTAGTCCTGTTAGGGAGGTCAGATGGTTTCCACAAAGTGAAACCAGCTGATGAATGAGGGTGGTACAGTTTATGTTCAGAGCACACAAATACACAAATAAATACAGTTTTACCTGAAAGCATTGGAGTCATAGAGTCTACAGGCTCCTCGTCCCCCGCACTGTTTTGTGCCCCACTTCAAACACGTCTGGTCTATCAGTGCCCCAAAGTAAATGGGAGGAGGGATTCCACCTGGAAACCAACACAGGAGAGAGCACATTATTTGTTATACTTATTTATACTGTATTTTATAAATGTATACAAAGATCACATTTATTTCACAGTCCTTACCTAGTGTTCTCACTATGAGCGTCTGCATACCCAAAGCCAAAGATTTTAGATCACTTGGAATTGACCTGTAAAAACACATAAAAAATATATATTTATAAAAGGCATTTATATTAACTTAATCACTGCAGTATGTTTTATTATATTCCACCAGTAAAATGACGTTTTTAAGAATCAGAATGACTTGTATTGCATTGTATTCTATTAAAGGTCCTACATTACACAAATTTGACTCTTGTGAACTTTAAACCATGTCCTAATGTTGTTTACTCCTCATAAACATACCCAGAGTTGTCAAAAAAAAAAAGAGGTAGAGCGCTTCTCTGGGTCACAAAAAAGTTAAAATTAGCAGTACAGGTGCTCTCTGAGGGTTAAACTAGTCATTTTAACAGAAAGTTACCCTTACTGAAGCCCATCTTGCTGGTCAAAAACGTGTTGTCATCCCTTCATGCAATAAAGGACTTTTAATACATTCAGTCAGAGTGTTTTTTCAGTAAGGGTAGTTTTCTGTTAAGATACCCAGAGTTGTGTTTTGTTTCATTCACACATGTTTGAGTAGTCCTATTTTATTAGTCTGTCTACATCTCAAAATGCTCTGTTCCACCTTGTGATGTCATGCAGTGGTAGTTTTTAAGTTAACAGCCACCTTTTTTAACCTTTTATTCAGTAGAGACTAGCAAATCCAGGTCTGAAATTATTTGTAACAATTCTAGTGAAAGTGTATGGAGTTTAAAAACAAAGTGGAGCACGTCCTGTGTTACCACATGACATCAGAAGGTGGAACACAGTGTTTTCAGTTTGAGAGAAAAAAACAGCCTAAACATGCAGGGTGTGAATGAAACAAAACACAACTCCAGCACAGGTTTGTTTGTGATGAGGAAACAACATTAGAACATAGATCAGAAAAAAACGTAATATTGACCCTTTAAACCAAAACGCACACTCACAAAATTCACAAAACGCCCCAATAAACATCTGACTATTGTGTAAACCAGCGAATAAAATGATTGGCTGTGGCTCAGACCGGAGGAGGACGATGTATCCTGGAGTCCCGCCCACAGCAGAGATAAAGGAGCCGATCACAGACAGGGCCATGTAGAACTTGAAAGCCCGCTCACAGTTACTCTTCCTGGGGCACTGACCCAGGACGGCCGAGCGGTTCATCCCTGGAGTCATCAGCTCCTCCACACATGTACAGTTATGGAACACCTGAGCAGGAGGAGGAGGGACACAAGGTAAAATATTATGTTGTGTCGTATCAAGTGTGTGTTTATGAATGTAAGTTGTAAACGTTTGTGTTGGAGCGTGTGAAGATAGGGGTGCGGGAGGGTTTTATTTTTATTCATATTTTTATTTGTATGTTTTTGTTTTGTTAAATATTAAAATCAATAAAAAATATATACAAATAAATAAATAAATGCAAGTTCTGAGTTAGCATTACAACTTTGTCAGGACTGTGAAAAATTCTGCATAAACCCCATCGTGTGTTCATACTTTTCTTGGCTTGGTCAGTGGTAGAAGAAGTACAACGCTTTTGTTACTTAAGTAAAAGTACAAATACTGGAGCAAAAAATACACTCACTTGAAAAAGTATTAAAGTACACCTGTAAAAATGTAGAGTAAATGTAGTGATTTTAATAAAGATTTGAATTTATTTCAACAGAAACATTTGAATCGATATTTTTGAGCAGTTTTTCTTGGTATATTTTTGTTTGCGCAAAATATAAATGTGTTAAAGAGAAACCCCTCAGCCTTTTTCAGTACCTGTACTGTAATAAAAAATACTTTTACTTTTCAGTTCAGTTAAAAAATGTAGTGGAGTATAAAGATAGATATCTGCTCTTAAATGTCATGAAGTAAAAGTAAAATATATCCACTTTAAAATGTACTTAAGTAAAGTACAGATACCTAAAATTTGTCCATAATACAGTACTTAAATACTTGTACTTTGTTAAATGCACCACTGTTTGGTCCTGATTTGAGCTCAGCGTATGCCTTTATTTGATCATATTTAACAACATGATGTATCACCAAAACATATTCATAAATTGTTAAATTCCTTCACTAAATAAGGCAATAAAGGCTTTTCTGATTTCGATTTCTAATTCTGGTTATGTAGACTTGGTTTGGCCCATTGTAAGTGAAAAATACAATTACAAATACATTTATAACAAAATAAACAAAGACATAATAAATAAAACTAACACATATGCCAACAGAAATAAATAAATTCATTTTTTCCTATGTTCCTAAAGTTTAAAAAAAAAAAAAAGTTTACTTCCTTCACTGACCCATTACTGACTTTCTATAAAATATCTTGTGAATCTTTAACTTGCTTTGTTTGGTTTTTTTGTAACTTACGCCAGCATTTGCAGAAACAGATCATTTGAAATATGACACTAATAAAAAGTTACAGATAAATTTCTTTTTGTGTTGTAAAATTATTGAGCCAAAGAAGTCATTTGCATGGAAAATATCTCAAATTTTACTTAAGCTTAGACAAACTTTATTGATCAACAAGCGAAATTATTTGGACACAGTAGCTCACACATCACAATATACTATAATAACAAAGAGCAAAAACATAAATTATAATAATAAATTCTAAATAAGAGCAGGAAAGACTCAAATAAGGCATAATTATATAAATAAACTGTATATATGTACACATCTGTGTAATCCCTCAGTTGTCCAGCAAAAGAAAATATTACATTTGCTGTGTATATGTCTAAGTAAAAAATATAAATTAATAAGTAATAAATAAATAAAATATAGAAATATAGTAATACAAATCTCAGCTATTTACAAAAAATTGTAAGGCCGTATAATGCAAATTGAGAGACAGCTCATATCCTTACCGTACCAACCACTATTGTTGAGTTCTAGGTAAATTATCAAGTGAGTAAACTGCCTGAACTCACCATCTGTTTTCCAGTTCCAGTGGACATTTGGCAGCCGGCCAGACACGGGGAGGCGTAGGTCATCCCGTTGTAGGCGCACACGGGGTCCCAGTGTTTGAGCGAGCACAGGCAGCCCGTGTTACACTGAGAGAGTAACGTCTGCTGACTGTGAGAGACCTGAGGGACTCTGTGAAAGACAACAGGCATATTAAAGGGGATATATTACACATGTTTAAATGAACACACAAACCCTGCATATTTAGGCTGAGATCTTAATACAGGAAGTGCCCCACTGTTTTTGTTAATGCTATACATCTTCACTAGAATCATTTTCAGCCCTGGTATTGCCAATCTCTACTGAACATAATTTAAAAGGTAGCTGTTAACTTTAAAACTACCACTTCATGACATCGCAAGGTGGAACAGAGCATTTTGAGCTTTGGAGATGTAGACAGACGAATAATAAATCATTACTCAAATGTGTGAATGAAACAAAAAATGACTTTAGCTACGTTTTTCATGAGAGAACAACATTCTAACATGGCTAGATAATCCGTGTATCATTCGTTCATTCTTTTTCAAAATAAAACCAAAAATAAGAGAAAAAAAAACAACTATTTTCTTCATTATTTGTCTCCAAAACCAAAATAAAAAATGGATAACGATTTGGTTTTTTTTTCAGTTTTCGATTTTGTGTTTAAATGGAAAAAACGTTTCCGTTTCCGTGACTTAAACTGCAATGCTAGACTTTTGCACTGTATAAGAACTAAACCAGGTTTAAACCAGGTCAAAACCAGGTCAAAACCAGGACTGACTGTTGGGTTGGCGCCTGCGTAGACTGTCAGGTGATCAGGACTGAGACCGGGACCAGACCGGGGCCAGACTGGGGCCAGACCGGGGCCAGACCGGGGCCAGACCGGGACTGAGACCAGGACTAAGACCGGGACTGAGACTGGAACTGAGACCGGTTTAGTCTTGGTTCAGTCCTGGATTAGTCCTGGTTCAGTCCTGGTTTGAACCTGGTTCAGTCCTGGTTTAGACCTGGTTCAGTCCGTATGCTGCGCAAAAGTCCAGCATCACAGTTTAAGTCACGGAAACGGGAAACAGCCGTCATCTGTTATTTTTCCATTATTCAGTTAAACACAAAATCAAAAACTGAAAAAAATGAATCGTTATCAGTTTTTTAATTTTGGTGTTGGAGACAAATAATGAAGAAAATTGTTGTTTTTTCGTTTTTGTTTCGTTTGGTTTCATTTTGAAAAATTAATGAACGAATGATACACGGATGCTAGAGCTCTCAGGATAAAATTTTGCGTAATTTAGCACATTGTATAGTTTAAAAACAGCTATGTGCATTTTAATACTACATATATGAGTCAGATATGAAATGCCAGACAATACAAGTTTACCAAACACTATTACAATAAATTTAAAAGTTCATAACAATAGATTACATAATACGTCCCCTTTATGTAGCCGTTGAAAATACTCACCCCTCATATGTGACAGTGAGTCCAGCGACCTCGGCATTATCACAGTGGAGGAAGATCTGAGTAGCGAGTAAACTGAAGGAGATGAGCGAGGCAGAGAAGGACACGCGCGCCGCTCCGATCACGCTCAACTTAAAACGCTTCATCACAAAACCTCCAGTGATGAAGCCCAGAGCCACAGCAGGCAGGTTCAAAATACCTACACAGAGAGGACAGAAAACAAACTCTATTATAGCATTTAAATTGTTTGGGTTCACATGACATTGCTTATAGGTAAAGGTGCAATATGTAACTTTTCTGTTGGATTTTATTGCTTTGCCTTGAAAGCTCCACAAAATGCAATTAGTCTCATCTTCATCTTTTCATCAATTTTCAAGGTATATATTTTTATTATTAAATAAATTAAACTAAAACTAAAACTAAATTATTCCCTGATTGTGGGAAAGCTGGACTGGCGTGGGTAGTGTTGTGTTTTAGTTTTAGTTTTAGTTTTTCCTCGAGTGATGCAGAAAGAGGGAGCCACTGTCTGTGTGAATGTTCATGTATGTTATGTTATGTCCATGAGGACCAACCATTATAAAAGTTACAAAATAAAGCTTTAACTTGGGCTGGAAGGCAGGTAATTAATTGGTAGAATTTCCTCACATAGCGCTATTTTCGGATCTACATTACAATATTGTTTCCTCGTCAAAAACATCAACATCTTTAACACACAACCCCTGCATATTTAATCTGAGTTCTTCTCGCAAAAGGAAAACACTTGTGATGTCAAGTAGTAATACACATAGTGCTCTACTGAACAAAAAGTTAAAAGGTAGCTGTTTTTTTATCTTTTGTTAAGTAAAATTGGTAATTCCAGGGCTGAAATTATCCAAATTATTCTAGTGAAGGTGTGTGGAACTAAGTGTTTTCTGTTTGAGAGAAGAACTCTAAAAAGTCTAAATATGCAAGGTTTATGTGTTATACGTGTGTGAATGCAACAAATAGGTCAGAACACAGCGCAATATTGGCCCTTTAAAGTAGCAATTTAATGTTCTATTGTAATTTGCTGTAAACACAAATATGTGACAGCGCTGATCGTAAAAAGTTATATACCTGGATTTCCACTAAAGGCATACCATTGTGTATCCTACTGTGTGTTTGAATATGTCTATCTTTAACAATCACACTTCCCTTTAATAACAGCATTGTTTCTGTTGCAGAGTTGCATAGCTCAGCTCGAGAATAAACAGGAAATCTTTGCTGCATGTTGTACCTATGAGGAAGATGGCCTTGGAAGCTGACTGGCCGAAAATTTGCTCCAAGAATTTAGGCTTGAAGGTGATCATGCCGATAAACCCGTTCACAACCACGAGGTACGTGAGCACCAGCAGAGAGAAGATGCTGTTTTTGAACAGTCTCTTTAGAGAAGGGATGAAGTCTGGAAAAAGAGAGACAATTCAAAGTTATTAAACAGCAAGAGAAATACAAAACAAGCTTTGAAATAGTTTCATATTCTGAAACTTGATTTATTAAAGGTCCTATATTACATAAAATTGATTCTTTTGATTCATCGAAACACATACCTGGAGTGTTTTATTTCATTCATGCATGTTTGGTTAATCCTTTATTATTAGTCTGTCTATATCTCCGATGCTCTGTTCCACCTTGTGATGTCATGAAGCGGTAGTTTTCAAGTTAACAACTGCCTTTTACCTTTTGTTAAATAGGCATTTGCCATTCCAGGTTTGAAATCATCCAAATGACTCTTGTGAAGGTGTATGGAGTTTAAAAACACAGTGGAGCACTTCTTGTATTACCACATGACATCACAATGTGGAACAGAGTGTTTTCAATTGGAGAGAAGAACTCAGCCTAACTCATCTTGAAGTGCGTTAAACGAGTGTGAATGAAACAAAACACAGCTCCAGATAAGTTTTTGATGAGGAGTCATATTATCACATTATAACATGGATCAGAAAATTACGTAATAAAGACCCTTTAAACAGTCATAGAAATCAGTGTTTACATGCTAATACAATTCAACCTTGATTTATCTTGTCTTTTCCTGTTACGTAAGAGCGGCCCTGTTTGATCTTCAGTCAACAGTGCTTCTAAATTCAGATGTTGCCTTCCACTTGTTTCCAGATTTCATGGTGTCTTTCCAAGTATGATCTCTTGACCAGGGATTGTCTGGTCAAATCTAATCTAGTTAATGATTAGATACAACTTTCTGCATGGTCATTCTCCAAAATCTATAATATTTACTTTGCTTTTTGAATACTTTAAATGTCCTATTATGTGGAATTGACTCTTGTGAGCTTTAATCCATGTTAGAATGTTGATACCTCCTCAAAAACAGACCTGGAGTTGTGTTTTGTTTCATTCATACATGTTTGAGTAACACTTTGTTATTAGTCTGAAATAAATATGCAGGGCTTGAGTTTGAAACACGTGTGAATGAAACAAAACAACTGCAGGTATGTTTTTGATAAGGAAATAACTTTACAACGTATCGGAAAATAACATAATATGGACTCTTTAACAGAGACCTCGAGTCAGATGTGAGATTGGATTTGAGGTCTGTGACTTGAGAAGACTTGATGCTTCTCCTAAAAATTATGTTTTTATAAAGCACTTTTCTCTTTACAGTTGTTAAATGCAGCGCTGAATTTTAAAGGAACAAACTGGAACATGTCCCTCCTCACTTCTCTGTTTGTTACTATGGCAACAGTAACTGAAGTACTGTGATGTGGAATCCCCAAATGTACTACAGTAATATACAGTACAATACAGTACAATATAGTAAAACAGAGGGAACTACAGAGAAATACATGACAAAATATCTGTTATTTAGCTCTTTAAAATCTGAATTCTTTCTGTTCTCCCCTTAATAATTCACACTAAGATCTTGTCAAGACATTTAAAAAGGAAAAAATAGCATTTCTACTTATATAAATACTCATATATAAATATACCATGATTTTTAAGCACAGTTTAGTTTAAAATTCATATAAATAGCAAAAATCTAAGCTATATTTGGTACTTTTTTGGTTTAAAGACTTAAATGACTTGAAGCTCAAAGCTGATGACCTGGACTTGACTTGGACTTATGAGCCAGTAACTCGAGACTCGACTTGAACTTGCCCATTTTTGACTTGGGACTTGACTCGGACTTGAGGTCAAAGACTTGTGACTTATTTGAGACTTGCAAAACAGCGACTTGGTCCCACCTCTGCTCTTTAGTAATTGAAGTAGTAATGAAGTAATAGTAGCAGTGACTCAGTGGTTCGATCTTTTGCCCTCCAGCTCACAGCAATTTGATTCCAGCTTCAGACAGATAATAATGTGCTGTGTACTTTGGCAAGGCACTTCTACCTTCTCACCCAGTGCCCATAAATGATAGTGGTTTATGATTCAGTGATTAGTGGTGGTTCGAGGGCCAGTGAAAGAGTTTACCCCAGGGCAGCTGTGGCTAAATTTCGCTGTTGTCAGGTGAGGAGTGAATGTGTTATAAAGGTAAAAATATGGATCATATTAACTGGGCTGTAACAATGAATCAGAATAATCAATACTAGTCGACTATTAAAATAATCGTAATCATATTTTGAACAACAGTAGCTCAGTCAGTAGAGTGTCCACTGATTCGAAGGTTGTCGGTTCGAGTGTTCCTTGAAAAAAAAAAATCCCATCCAATTTGAATGAACTGATTCACACAGTTATTTCATGTTATATGGTGCAATTTTGGATTCTCCTGAAAAACCTCTGAACAAGAAAAGACCCAAAATTTCCATTATTACAAAATCGAAAGACAGCAGGTATTTGTGAGACACATTTTTTCTCTACAGGTTAGAATTTGATCATGTTTTGCAGTAGCAGATTTTAAACAACAAAAGGGTGCCACACAAAATTGTTAAAAAACATTATCAAGACATGATTACGATTATTTTAATAGTCGATTAGTAATGATTAATAGTTACAGCCCTATTGACATGGCCCAAATTTTTTCTCTCAAAGATGCTTTACATTGCACTTTTCTTTCATTCTCTCGCTATAATGTGCCGTTTTTCTTTTTTGTTTTGTTTTTTATATATTTATTGTTTTTCCCCATTGTTCTTGAGACACACACATCTCTATTTATTTGAATTATGGTGGATTGAAAACCTGTCTTGTTAGTTAGGTCACTGACTACATAACCAGAGCTGAAAGAAGTTTTATTTTTTGTTTACATCCATTACATATGATGATTTTTTCTTCTTATGATTATTGTAAACTACTATCATTTAATGTCATATTGAGAGAAAATCTAATTGCTCTGAGACCTCGGTGATTAGTGGCACTGAGGGTAATTGGTTGGGGACCCTCCAGGTTTGGGGGCCCTAGGCAACCGCCTAATTTTTCCTTATGGTAGCACCGCCTCTGGGCATGTGCTTGAGTGTTGGTGGTGGTCAGAGGGGCAGATGAGGCAGCTTAGGCAGATTGTCAGTCTTGTCTATGTCAGTCTGTCCCAGGTCAAACATGGTGTGGAGTACAAAAAGTAATTTTATATATACTTATACTTTTATGAATATATATTACTTTTACTGTATTTTAACTGCTCAATATGCTTAAAGGGCCCATACTAGTATTAAGATCTTTTCTGATGTATGTTATAATGTTGTTTCCTCATCACAAACAGACCTGGAGTTGTGTTTTGTTTCATTCACACATTTTTAACACACAAACCTTGGATATTTAGACTAAACTCATCTCTTAAGCAGAAACCACCCTGTTCCACCTTGTGATGTCATGTGGTAATACAGGAAGTGCTCCTATGTTTTTAAACTCCATACACCTTCATTAGAATAATCTGGATAATTTCAGCCCTGGAATTGCCAATCTCTATTGAACTAAAGGTAAAAGGTAGCTGTTAACTTGCTAAAGATCGTTACATGACATCACAAGGTGGAACAGAGCATTTTGAGCTTTGGAAATGTAGACAGACTAACAATAAAGGATTACTGAAACGTGTGAATGAAGCAAAACACAACAAAGTGCATGTTTTTGATGAGGTAACAACAGTATAATCTGTCTTAAAGTGTACAAGAGTCAATTTAGTGTAATGCAGGACCTTTAATGCTTATGCCCTTCATCCTGCTGCTATGACTGTCATTGTTTATGACATATAGGCTGCACTGACTGTCTTTATTGTGCTCATGTTTACACTGAGGTTATTGGGTGGGCTCTTGCACCTTTAATATTGCACTTCAAACTAAAACTATGCAGTGTTTGACGCTCTAGACATAATTTTGTTGTTTTTCTATGACAATGACAATAAAAATCCAGACACTTGAAACTCCCCTCAGAAAGGCCCTATCTGGTCTGGGAATTGAACCCTGGGACTCACCTTTGGCCAGTTCCTTGAATGTAACAGGCTTCTCTTTGGGATCTGGCTCTGGGACGTCCGCCGGCAGAAAGCTTTCCTGTTCAGCCACGAAGGTCATCTCCGTCTCTTTGGTTTCAGGGGGATTTTTCTTCTGGCCTTGTTTTGGTAAAGATTTGGGCAGGAACCAAAAGGGAACACTGGACATGAGCACCACTGTCCCGGTAATGATGAAGCCCAGCCACCAGGCACCCACCCACCGGGAGTCCTTATAGGTAATTGTCACCGTATCTGGGAATTAAATGGAAAATCAACACATGAATGACTGAGTACAAATATAGACTATATGAAACAGGTTTTATCTAGTTTTGCTCTGGTCTAAAGTAGTGAAATAGACTGCACATGTAGTTAAACCTTGCTTAGTTGCTCTTTTGTACATATTGAAGTCATTTAAAGCTGCACTGTGCAACTTTTCACATCTGGTTGGTATTGCTTTGTCTGGAATGCTCCACAGTGTAGTATTAAACTCATCTAACTTGCATTACTTCTCTAACAGGTGTTTTCTTGGTAATAAAAATACCCTGGAAAAACTTTTATGAGCTTTATGACTGGGAGTTGGCTTGCCTCTCCAAAGGTATAACCTGTAACTTGGCTTGGTGGCACGTTTCCTTACCCCCTTATAACCCCTATTATTAACCTAGAATTCTTATTGGAATAATTATTTAATGCTTATTTACTTAACTGTAATTGTTAACCAGGTTCAGAGGGTTAAATAAAGCATGTTTAAGGCACAGTTTACATTATCAGGTCAGAGGTCTGAGACTGTTACACAAGAGACAAGAGACTTACCTTAAAATGCATTGTGTCAAAAGTTAGAAATTGAGAAAATTGTGACTATTTGGTCTGTAGTCAAGAAACAGTGACTCCCAAGTTAATAATTAAACTGTAAAAAGTCCATCCAATGCAATCTGTTGACACAATAGTGTAAGGAATCGGAACAGTTTGACGGGCAAAGAGTCAAACAACAAAATCAAACAGATAATTTCTTATTCATCTGACCAAATAAAAACATGACTAGCTATGGCAGCCTTGTAGTTAAGCCTAGTTTAGCCTTGATGTAGACTTCATTTGGTTCTGTTCTAACCTTGGTGTAGTCCTGGTCTAGTCCTGGTTTAGTTTCTGGTTTAGTCTCAGTTTTTACTTTTGTCGATACAAACTACACATACATTTGTATAATTACTCTCTTGCTAGTTTTGTTATTTTTTTGAATTTATTATTACCATTTATATAATTATTATATTATATTGCTGCTCTTTATTATTATAACATGTCGTGATGTCTGGGCTGCTGTGTCCAAATAATTTCCCTTGTGGACCAATAAACACTCTGGATGTGGACCACAAAATCACCTTCAAAACATAAAAATATTTTTGTTATTTATTTCATATTTTTAGCCATCAAATGTCTCATTAGTGCTTATTTGGTCCAATCTAAACAATATTAGTGATATAAAACACTGAAAGTAGCCATTTTACGATATGTTCTAGTAATACTCCACACTATGCACTATGCCATTTAATAGGATAGACAAAACAAACTCCATACCTAAATCCACAAATCCAATGTCCACATAGACTTTGGCCAGGTACGAGCCGAGCATGAAGCCAAACATGGGCCCCAAAATACCCACTGTTTGGATGCAGGCTGAAAAAACAAACATAAATAAAAACATAACATAACCTACAAATTAAAACTGCAATTCTGTGGACAGAGTCTCACAGTCAAATAGTGTGTATATATTATCAGTGTGGACGCTGTGTGTTCGTGTTGTGACCAGTTTGTTTTGTTTTGCTGATGTTGTTAGAGCTGGTTGTGTTGCTGGGGCTGGTTGTGTTGTTATGGATGGGTGTGTTGTTGGGGATGGGTGTGTTTTTGGGGCTGGTTGTGTTGTCGGGGCTGGTTGTGTTGTTGGAGCTGGTTGTGTTGTTGGGGCAGATTGTGTGCGATGGATCAGGTTCTGTTGTTGTTTGTGAGCGGTACGTCAGGTTGTGTTGTTGGGGCTGGTTGCGTTGTTGGAGCTGGTTGTGTTGTCGGGGCTGGTTGTGCGGTGGATCAGGTTCTGTTGTTGTTTGTGAGCGGTACGTCAGGTTGTGTTGTTGGGGCTGGTTGTGTTGCTGGGGATGGGTGTGTTTTTGGGGCTGGTTGTGAGTGGTGTGTCAGGTTGTGTTGTTGGGGCTGGTTGTGTTGTTGGGGCTGGTTGTGAGTGCTGTGTCAGGTTGTGTTGTTGGGGCTGGTTGTGAGTGGTGTGTCAGGTTGTGTTGTTGGGGCTGGTTGTGAGTGGTGTGTCAGGTTGTGTTGTTGGGGCTGGTTGTGTTGTTGGGGCTGGTTGTGAGTGGTGTGTCAGGTTGTGTTGCTGGGGCTGGTTGCGTTGCTGGGGCTGGTTGTGTCGTTATGGATGGATGTGTTGGTGGGGATGGGTGTGTTTTTGGGGCTGGTTGTGTTGTCGGGGCTGGTTGTGTTGTTGGAGCTGGTTGTGTTGTTGGGGCAGATTGTGTGCGATGGATCAGGTTCTGTTGTTGTTTGTGAGCGGTACGTCAGGTTGTGTTGTTGGGGCTGGTTGCGTTGTTGGAGCTGGTTGTGTTGTCGGGGCTGGTTGTGTTGTTATGGATGGGTGTGTTTTTGGGGCTGGTTGTGTTGCTGGGGATGGGTGTGTTGTTGGGGCTGGTTGTATTGTTGGGGCAGACTGCACACAGTGGATCAGGTTCTGTTGTTGTTTGTGAGCGGTACGTCAGGTTGTGTTGTTGGGGCTGGTTGTGTTGTTGGAGTTGGTTGTGTTGTCGGGGCTGGTTGTGTGGTGGATCAGGTTCTGTTGTTGTTTGTGAGCGGTACGTCAGGTTGTGTTGTTGGGGCTGGTTGTGTTGTTGGAGCTGGTTGTGTTGTCGGGGCTGGTTGTGCGGTGGATCAGGTTCTGTTGTTGTTTGTGAGCGGTACGTCAGGTTGTGTTGTTGGGGCTGGTTGTGTTGCTGGGGATGGGTGTGTTTTTTGGGGCTGGTTGTGAGTGGTGTGTCAGGTTGTGTTGTTGGGGCTGGTTGTGTTGTTGGGGCTGGTTGTGAGTGCTGTGTCAGGTTGTGTTGTTGGGGCTGGTTGTGAGTGGTGTGTCAGGTTGTGTTGTTGGGGCTGGTTGTGAGTGGTGTGTCAGGTTGTGTTGTTGGGGCTGGTTGTGTTGTTGGGGCTGGTTGTGAGTGGTGTGTGTCAGGTTGTGTTGCTGGGGCTGGTTGCGTTGCTGGGGCTGGTTGTGTCGTTATGGATGGATGTGTTGGTGGGGATGGGTGTGTTTTTGGGGCTGGTTGTGTTGCTGGGGATGGGTGTGTTTTTGGGGCTGGTTGTGTTGCTGGGGATGGGTGTGTTTTTGGGGCTGGTTGTGTTGCTGGGGATGGGTGTGTTGTTGGGGCTGGTTGTATTGTTGGGGCAGACTGCACACAGTGGATCAGGTTCTGTTGTTGTTTGTGAGCGGTACGTCAGGTTGTGTTGTTGGGGCTGGTTGTGTTGTTGGAGCTGGTTGTGTTGTCGGGGCTGGTTGTGTGGTGGATCAGGTTCTGTTGTTGTTTGTGAGCGGTACGTCAGGTTGTGTTGTTGGGGCTGGTTGTGTTGTTGGAGCTGGTTGTGTTGTCGGGGCTGGTTGTGCGGTGGATCAGGTTCTGTTGTTGTTTGTGAGCGGTACGTCAGGTTGTGTTGCTGGGGATGGGTGTGTTGTTGGGGTTGGTTATATTGTTGGGGCTGGTTGTGAGCTGTGTGTTAGGTTCTGCTATAGGGGCTGGTTGTGTTGTTGGGGCTGGTTGTGTGCAGTGGATCAGGTTCTGTTGTTGTTTGTGAGCGGTACGTCAGGTTGTGTTGCTGGGGATGGGTGTGTTGTTGGGGTTGGTTATATTGTTGGGGCTGGTTGTGAGCTGTGTGTTAGGTTCTGCTATAGGGGCTGGTTGTGTTGTTGGGGCTGGTTGTGTGCAGTGGATCAGGTTCTGTTGTTGTTTGTGAGCGGTACGTCAGGTTGTGTTGCTGGGGCTGGTTGTGCGTGTTGCATCAGGTTGTGTTGCTGGGAGTGGTTGTACGCAGTGGATCAGGTTGTGTTGATGGGGCTGGTTGTCGGGGATGGTTGTGCACACCCCCCTAAAAAATAATACCACTAGTTGCTACTTGTACCAACCCAAATAGAAAGGAGTGTTTTCCTCTCGTGAAAAGTCATCGATGTAGGACACGCCCAAAGGCATGATGGGAGTTTCTCCAATTCCACGTAGCATGTTTCCCAGGAATACATAAATCCACATAGGAGACCCACCGGAATGTTCACAACCTAATGAGTGAACAATGAATGAATGAAAAATAAATGAATCAAGCAAATGGTAGATAAATATTATTAATAGAACAACATTTTGGGGGGGTCAAGATTTATCATGTGTATACATTTTCTTTGTACTAGTGGGAAATTTTTGGTAATTTATTATTATTATTATTATTTTTATTTTTTTTTGCAATTTTATAAGATTTGTTAAGATTTGAGCTGTAGAAGTTTGAATTATTATCTTATTATCGACTCTTTATAGATACATGTATTTATTGTAGCTCATATTTTTTAACAATACATTGTACACATTGTGAATTTAGAATATTTTTTTATATAATTTTGGTTTGGTTTCAATATTATCATTTATCATCTATATTTACTTATTTACAGCAGTTCATGGCACTTCAGTATGTATTACTGTGACATTATTGTGACAGGATACAGCACCTGTCTTATCCTGCAGACTGGGCGTGTCCTCTGTGTCCAGGCTGTGGTTGGACAAACAAGGCAGGATTGTCTCTGTGCTGTTTGCTTCAACTTTGTGGGACATGCTGGTCTCATATTTATACCTGAAAACACATTTATTCAGGAGATTAGTTAAGAGATATTATACTTCTTTGAAAACCAGATGCTGAAGTAGGGCATTGTATCTTTAGCACAGACCGTAAATGGACATAGCCAATAGAAAGTGAAAATGGGGGCACGTCATGGATCTATTAAAATAACTGGATGCTTGTAGCTGCCTTCTGTTGGTGTAGTGGCCACTCACTGGTACTACAGTGAAAAAAATCCCATGGCCTGAGAAAGGATTTTTCTCATAGAATGCAATGTAATCACAAACTGCTCATGCTCAGCTGACAGGGTGCCTACAACTTTCAAAAATGTCAGATTTGTTGGCGATTTTTACCTATTTTTGAATCTTAAACTTTTTCTCAGCTCAAAACCCTTCAGTTGTCTTAAAAACGCTTTATAATTGTTAGCTCTGGCTCTGCTCTGCTCTGCTCTAGCTCCTCTCACTCTGATTGGTCAAAGCGAACACGTGACACACGAGACCGCGCTCCATGTGTGCACTTGTGTGAATTCACGTGAGAAAAAAGCACTACTGCGCATGCTCAATCGGCCCAGAGCCACCAGAAGTATCTAGCCAGGCAAAAGGCTAATCTGGATTCATGTGCTCATTGACTTGAATGGGCGGCCATTTTGGAACCCCTGGGCTTGGGGCGCGTCTGGCTCCATCGACTCTGGCTCCATTTGGCTTTATACTGAAAAACTGTCACCCCTCTCTCTGTAATTGCTGCAGTGATCCTCGTCATTTTGATCTTAAAATGTTTGTATTAACCCACTCTACATGATCCTATAACCGCAGGCCCCACTGAGCTTCACTTGACTGGAGTTGAACCCTTTAGGTGACGTCCAATCCCTTAGTTCACTTCTTCATGGAGTCTATGGTCTTTAGGCAAGCCAATTCACCCACATTGCCCAACATGTACCGTATGTGGTGTGTGGTGTCTGTGACCGTTGGTGGTAGTTGGAGAGGCAGATGGTAGCTCAGTGTTTGTCCACTGATCCAAAGGTTGGCAGTTTGATTCCTGCTCTCAAACATAGACAATTTTGTCTGAGAGGTCATATCCACTGACCCATGGCCCACAAATGAATGCTGTCATTGTGACGGTGCAGATTAGCAGCCTCAGTTTGCTCATTTTGCCTTTGTGCAGTTGTAGCTAGAGCAGTTAAAGTGTGAAAGTGAATGCAAGTGCTGTTATGTGGGTATCTTGAAAGATGTAGCTACATAAATCCAGTGAATTATTATTTGTAAGTGCTCATTTTAACTGATAACCCCATGGAATTAAAACACGTAATATTAAGTTTGTACTCACTGCCCCTGGAAGAAGTGTGGCAGAGCAGTGAGATAGGCTCCAAGCGCCATAATGAGACACCCAGCCCCGATCAGCCTGGGCCGGTGAAGTTTAGCACCAAAATAACTCACAAATGCAATTACCAGAAGATTACCTGTTACACAAAAACACGTTACCAAGTTGTTAATTATAAAATAACTTAATAAAGGCCCATATTACACTATTTTTGATCAATGTTATAATGTTGTTTCCTCATCAAAAATGTACCTGGAGTTGTGTTTTGTTTCATTCACACACAAACCCTGAATATTTAGGCTGAGTTCTTCTCTTAAACGAAAAACACTCAAAGTATTTTGAGCTTTGGAGATGTAAATAGATACTAAAGGATTACTCAAACATGTGAATGAAACAAAATACTGCCCCAGGTTCATTTTTGATGAGGTAACAACATTATAACATGGCTTAAAGGTCACAAGAGTCAGTTTTGTGTAATGTAGGACTTAAACCACATAGAGTAGCTGGTTTTTGGAGATGTAGTTTACCCATTTCAAAGCTGCCGTCGATGGCTCCAATGAGGGAGCTGGGGATGTCGAAGCGTCTCTCGATCTGCGTGATGGAGCTCTTCATGTACGCTCCACAAAAAGCTTTGGAAAAATACACAAACGCCATAGCAGCGAGGAAGAGCTGCAAAAGGAAACACACACACACAATATTATAGATGACAAACAGACACACAGGTGATTGCGCTCACTGTGGGATCCTAGAATTGTTTTTGACCAAACTATTAGACAACAATTATAATTTACCCATTTTCAACCATCATTTCTCTTACCATTTAAATATGCACTATGCAGCTTTTCTGGTGGGAGGGTGCATTCAATTTCAGACCTTTTTTGTAGCTTTCAAATGAACAACAATAAAAAACATGCATTTTTGCAGTGAACGGGATTGCCTCTCCATGTCCTTGTCTTCTGCCCTGATTCACCAACTGCTTTCATTTCGTGGAAACTGTCTGACCACAGCACTAGCACTCGACGGTAGGCGGGTACTTTTTAAAAATTTAACCAATCACTGCTATTTGGTCGTGACATATGTAATGCGCCAGAATGCTCAGTGGTGTCAAAGTAATTGCCGGCACAACAGTAAACAAAGCAGAAAGTGAACATGTCAACGATCATTGTCATTTCTGCGAGATGAACTTGCGAATTAAAGTTGCAATAAAAAATGCGAAGTTTGTATATGACAAAGGAAGTCTAAAGGAGGATAGCATATGCAGTCTGCTATTGCACCTCGGGTTGGTTCAGCTCTTCGCTGATTGGTCGGTGCGCGGTCTACAACTTCCGGGGTTCTTATAAACCGTCTAGTGTATTCTGATTCCTGACCTAGTCATTGGAGAAAATGAAATTGAGCGGAGGCACTAGGCAGCTACTTGTCTTCATGGAGATTGTTTAATGCTGTGGAACATTCCAGACAAAGCACTAATTTATATTGCTACAAGAATGCTGCAGATCCTTTAAATTCCATGGTACTGTATCGAAGAATTTCAAAGTGACTAAAAATTTGAACTGTTGTCATAGCAATTAACATCTCAAAATGACATCTGTAAAAAGGAAAATGCATTAAGGAACTATACACAGTGTATTTTTATTTATATATTTATTTTAACTTCATTAAATGGCATTTCAAAGTCACTAATAAATGTTAAAGGTTGTATGGAGGATTTTTTTTTGTTTCAAATTGTCAATGATAGCATTATAGAGGTGCAGTAGCCTTGTAATTATGATGACCAAAAAAAAGAGAATAAAAATTCATCAACTCTGGACGTGGTGGGGCCAGCTAAACATTTGCCAATAGATAACGACATTGCCTCGTTATCTGTTGAAAGAAGAAGACAAGGGGAAAAGCAGCGAAGCCAAACTAAGGTGATTCTTGTAGATTCATTCCAGCGATGGCGCAACTGAAGCAGACGCAGGGTCTAAAGACTGACGCACTGGTCGCCAAATTACTCCTGGACAGGAAACTTCTGCTTATTATGAAAACGTACTTTATTTCCAAGAGCTAGACAAACGTTTTTCAGGACACGAAAGCGATATCCTATGTCTGAAAACGTAATTTTCAAGGCAAAGAAAGAGTCCGCTTGCTGCTGCGTGTTGTAGCTAGTTCATTCGCACTGAATCTCCGCGCACTCTTCTCTGCTCCCCTTTCCTGCTCCTGTCCCGCTGCCCGTTCCGCTCTTCCCCCTGCTCCTCACTTCTCCGGGCACGGAATCTCCGCGCACCGCTCCCCTCTCCTCTCTCCTCTCCTCTCTCCCTGCTCCGCTCTTCTCCCTGCTCCTCACTTCTCGTCCACGAACGAAATGTCCGCGCACCCGCTCCCCCCGCTCCTCACTTCTCCGTCTTGCCTAAACAACACTGTAGTTAGTTGTTTACAAGTCATGTGCAGCGCACCGGCTGTAAACAAACCTGTTTCTGGCGTAGTGAGGAGGCGGGAGGAGGCGTTTCTACGTAGGGAGCTGTAGGGGAGGGGGGGGGGGTTTCACGCACGCATGCGCAACATTTGAAAAAGGACAAACAGTCGCTGGATTTCTCGTTCCTTGGAAAATCCTCTATACAACCTTTAATCTCAAATTGTTTTCTCGTTTTTTGGTGTAGCTGAGTGTTATACAGTCGTCCCTCGCTATATAATAATGAAAACTCGGACATCTGCATCACTTTATTAAAAACAACTCGGACAGCCAGGACAGGACGTGAAAAACTGACATGTTCAGGGAAAAATGGACATTTGGTCACCCAGCAACCTACATTCGGTTTGTCGATTAAAAATGTACGTAATCAACAAAATTGTTAATGATCAATTGGTCTATTAATCGAATAATGCCCATCCCTAGTAGAAGACTTAAAGAAGCTTCATTTGAGTTTTATTTGGTTTAAAATATATTTGAGAAATCTTAATGTACTGTAGAAGTCATTAGTTGACTAGTCGACTAATTGAAAAAAAAAAGAAATGCTGCCAAATCGCCTACTAAAATAATCGTTAGTAGGGTTAGGGTCATGTTTGTGTCACAACTGTAACAGAAATAGACACTGAATGCTTATAATGCTCAAAGTCCGTTCATGTAACTTAGTAAAATGGGTCACACAGAACCCTTTACCTACTTTATCTTTTTATGGTGTTGTCCATATCTGCTCAAATGAGAGTTAAAGATTATGTAGGTCATGGGCACTTCTTTGACCATATTCATATAACTTAGTTTGACTTACTCCCAACACACATAAAAGTGCAGGATCAAAATATTTACCTTAAAGGTGCACTGTGTAACCTTTCTGGTGAAGTGTCTACTGCTGCTTTTCTCCATGGATATTTGCAGCCTGCCTGGAATGTTTCACAATCTGTTTAGCATTTTCTCATTATGGATCTTTTAATTGCTCAAAAATCCATTTAAAAACATTTTTACTGCGAGTAAAGTCTCCTATCCACAGCTCTGACTTGTAACTTGCTCTGCAGTAGTTGTGTCACCTTCGTGTCTCCATGGAGATAGATACTTTTAATGCCATACTGTTGAACATTAGGGGTGTAATGGTATGCAACGCTCATGATATGATATCGTCACGGTATGAACCTCACAGTACGATATTTATTGTAATATTTTGTGGAGACAAAACTGGGAATATGCTTCTTTTTCCTCTTAAAATGCCTTGACAAGACTTAATCCAAAGAACTGAGACTTAAAAGTGCTTAGAACTGTTATTTCTTTTTGTAGTCTCCACTGAAATGGAGCAAAGGACCATGGTCTATGTAGTTCCCTCTGTCTTTTTTTTAGCTATTGTTGCACCATAACTCTTAATTTAAGCAAAGAGACTTGTAATTTGATATATTGTGATGGTCCACGATATTATTGTGAGAACTTTGACGATATGATTCAAGACACAACGGATTCCAGGCACTCCAAAACAGTAGAAAAAGTAAACACATCGCACGAGGAAAAATATAATTAAAAGGCCTTTATTTGAATGGCCAAAGCCAACATGTTTCAACCTCAACTGGTCTTCATCAGGGCTTAATTAAGAACAGTTCTTTTTTTTCTTTTTTTTTTTTTTTTTTTTTTTGCCTGTACCATGTCCTGTTTTTGTGAACCTGTTTTGTCTGCTTCCAATTTACTCCAGTCTTGCTATTGGTTGATGTGTTCTATTTGAAGGCCACACCTATGCTTTGTTCTTAATTAAGCCCTGATGAAGACCAGTTGAGGTTGAAACATGTTGGCTTTGGCCATTCAAATAAAGGCCTTTTAATTATATTTTTCCTCGTGCGATGTGTTTACTTTTTCTACTGTTTTGGAGTGCCTGGAATCCGTTGTGTCTTGAGTCTTGATCCTTTTTTCCAAGAGCACCCTCTTTGCTCCTACTGATTGGAACACCTGTAGCAAACAGCCACATTTTTGGTCTTTTTGACGATATGATATCACAATATTTCGGTTACTGTTACATCCCTATTGAACATACTGATCAAAGCAATAACATCTCCATGGAGACAACCAAGTGGGATCCCCTCCACTAGAAAAAGTATTATTTATTACTTCGTTGCGTAATAAAATGAGCAATCCATGGCTGCTGTTTAGAGTCATTTGTGGTCACCGTGAGATATCACATAAATCAGATTAGATAATTTTAGATAACAATTGTATTTTTCTGTCAGGGGCACTAAAAATACATGGAAACTAATTATAAACTTTAATTCAAACATGGAGTCTTCACAAAGGTTTAATAGTTTCATAGTGATTAGTATTTATGACATGATTTCATATGGTTGTGTAATTATGTAGATGTGTTTTGATGTGACAATGAATACAAGGGACAAAAATGTTATGTGTGTCTTGCTTGTCTTATATCCATATTTTTGAGCATTAAAGCCTCGAATGCATGACAACGCAGGAAATGCACAACTCAATTTGAGCAAGTTTATAATGAGCAAACACTGTTACAACATGGTTAAAAGCTTTTACATGTCCTTTTTACGCAATATGTCTACTTTAAAGGCTGTAGTTAAAGGTGTGCAACTTTTCTGGTGGATGATCGTACTTGTCTAGCCTGATTCATCAGCCAGTTTAACTTCCTGGAAACTGTCTGACCTTGGAGCATTAGGATTCGTTCAGCTCGACTTTTTTTTACTTAACCAGTTACTTACCAGTACTTAACTCTTTGTTCAGGCTTTAAATCCTCAGTCTCGGCAGTCATTGCCAACACAGAATGTATGGCTCTTCGCGGACTGTTTGGTGCCCAAACTCCCACTTCCGAGGGTTTTACAAACTGTCTAGTGTTTTTGCTGGAGATAAATTAAATTGAGTGGAGGCACTAGGTGGCGCCAGCCTGGCTAGTACTTGTTTGTCTCCATGGAAAGGAATGTTCCAGGATATGATTTTAAACATTTATGGGTGTTTCTGATGCTCAAAAACACAATAATTCCTTCTGTGAATAGGGGAGACTCTACACATTTCTGAAAAGTAATGTAGTGTAGAGTAGCGTTGTGTCTTTTGTGATTTAATAGGTTTAATGTGATTTAATGTCTTGTGTGGATTAATAGGTTTCATCTATACTATGGAACATTCTAGACAAAGCAATAACATATCCATGGAGACAAGCAGGTTGCAGATCCTCCACTAGAAATGTTACGTAGTGCACCTTTAATTTATGACTAATAATGTGTTCTATTTTGAATAACTTCTCATCAGTGATCTTGTTTTCTCTGGATTAAACTTGTGCTTTGTCACTGCTATTGACTGAGCGGTACTGAGTGTTCATATTATTCTGACCTTGAGCTTGGAACAGCAGCCCTCACGTGGAGTTTTAGCTGCCACACTCATGATGACAGTGCGTCAAGACCAGAGAAGAAGAACAAAACAGGACCTGCCATGCACACAAACATCAGGGAATACAATATAATCACAATCTGTTTTACTCACTTTGCACAGTGTAAATGTGTAAAACTGATTTCATTAAGGGGTGGATATAAGAATACGCCTTTTTCAGTTTCTGTCACACGTCACACTCAGAAAAAAAATATTAAAAATGCAAAAAATTATATAGTATAGTGCAAAATATATTTAAGAAGAATTATAAACAAATAAAGAATAAAAGGAAGAAAGAAATTTTAATTTGGACAATTCAAAACTTAAAGGAACAGTATCAATATATTTAACTAATAATGTCAACTAGTACAGTTTAGATCACTCAGAACAGTATAGAAAAACAGTAAGATTTAGTGACCAGTCTGAACTCAAGCCCAGATATCTCAGAGTTCAGGGGCAAATGCTCACCCACTAAACCATTTAAATCATGTCACTGAAAACTGTTACAAGATTTAAAAAATAAATAGTAAGGATAACTATTTCACAACAATATCAACACAACATACTCTATACTGTTTATTGTGTTAAAAAAAAAAAAGTGGTGGCTTTAATTTTAAACATTGCATTTTAAAAGGTGCATTGTGTAACTTTTCAGATGGAAATTTAAATGCTTTTCTCTATGGAGATGCTATTGCTTTATCTCAGACATGTCAAACTCAGGCCCAGGGGCCAAATTTGGCCCGCAATATAATTATATTTGGTCCACGAGATCATATCAAACAGGTATTAGAGCTGCCCGCTGGCTACACATAGACTATAGAGACATTATTTATTTAAAATTTTGTTATTATTTTATATTTTGGTTGTTCTGGATTCAATGTTTAAGCAAAACTATTATTAAACATTTATTTTAATAAGAAAAGTTTTAACATTACAAATATTACATATCTCATCGAAGATAAAACATGCAAATAGCAAATTAGTCCCAGTTTTTAATTTTGGCTTTCTGTGAATTTGAGTTTGACACTGTTGCTTTATCTGGAATGTTCCACAGTATGGCATTAAAACTTTCTACCTTCATGGAGACCAAACCAGACCAAGCTACAGGTCAGATCTGTGGAGAGGCAACCCCGCTCACTGTCAGAATGTCTGTTTTTCTAGTTTTTTTTAAAAAGCTGTAAAACCAACTGTAATTGAATAAATGTAAAGTAGAGCTGTTTAATGCCATACTGTGGAACATTTCAGGCAGAGCAGTGACCTCTCCATAGAAACAAACAGGTGAAAAATAAAAAGTTACATAGTGCACCTTTAAGTTTTTGCATAAATGTTGAATGCGCTGAAGCTATACTCACCTGAGAAGCGGCAGTGGTCCTGGAGGAGGTGATGGGTGAAGGCTCCCTCTACGCACCAGGACTTTGGGCTCAAGCATAGATCTTATCACAAACAAACTATAGGCTGTAATCAGTAACCCGCTCTCTCTCCCTCGCTCTCCTTTTCTCTCTCATGTGAGCCTGTTGATCGCGTCAGCACCAAACTTTCCAAATTACACAAAAATACACGTGACTCGGGTCCAGCATTATGCAAAGGTAGAAATACGGGTTCAAAGAGGTTTAGAGAGGACCTGTGCATCCTCTGCCGGTAGACATCTTAGGGCTCCCCAGTAGGGCTTTTGAACGCACCACAAACAAACTCTGGACACAGGGACTTTTGGGGGCTGTTGATTCTGAGGGGTTTTCAAAGAGGTGTGTGTTTTGCCCCTCTCGTGTCAAACTGCTTTTATAACCCTGGGTGTTTCCTAGTTCTGATCAAAGTCTTCCTGTCCCATTGATAGTCGCTAACAATGGCGTTCCCCTGGTATCTCCAGAATGTGCAGTTAAAGCCCGTGACTGGGAAAAGTCTTCAGCCCGACTCGAAATACTGATGAGATTAAGAAGAAATACAATGAGACACTCTCCTTAATGGAGGGTCATAATTACAGCTAATGTAATTATGAAAGTACTGCAAAACTAATGACAGTACTGCAAAACTAATGACAGTACTGCAAAACTAATGACAGTACTGCAAAACTAATGACAGTACTGCAAAACTAATGACAGTACTGCAATACTAATGACAGTACTGCAAAACTAATGACAGTACTGCAATACTAATGACAGTACTGCAAAACTAATGACAGTACTGCAAAACTAATGACAGTACTGCAAAACTAATGGTAGAACTGCAATACTAATGGCAGTACTGCAATACTAATTATGACAATAGTGCAATACGAATTATGATAAGACTGCAATACTATGCATTACTATACTACAATACTGCATTACTACAATACTATGCAATACTAATTATGATAATACTGCAATACTACAATAATTAGCAATACTATACTAGAATACTACAATACTACAATACTGCAATACTAATTATGACAATACTTCAAAAATAAATATGACAGTATTGCAATACTAATTATGACTGTACTGCAATACTAAATATGACAGTATTGCAATACTAAATATGACAGTATTGCAATACTAAATTTGACAGTACTGCATAACTAAATATGACAGTACTGCAATGCTAATTATGACAGTACTGCAATACTAAATATGACAATACTGCAATACCAATTATGACAGTACTGCAATACTAAATATGACAATACTGCAATACTAATTATGACAGTACTGCAATACTAATTATGGCAATACTGGAATACTACAATAATTAGTAATACTACACTACAATACTGCATTACTTGAATAATATGCAATATTAATTATGACAATACTACAGTACCACAATAATTAGCAATACTACAATACCACAATAATATCTAATGCTAATTGTGACATTAGATATTATTGTGGTATAGTTGGCTATAGTACAATACTGCATTACTAGAATAATATGCAATACTATACTACAATACTACAATATTGCAATACTAACATGAGTTCTGCAAATAGACACAAAACACCGAAGTATTTTCACTGATAAGAATTTAATTACTGTTAATGATGAGATTAAAGCATCTTAAACATATTTATCCTTAAAAGCTTTTCACAGATAAGAATTTAACAGTTTTAACAGAGATCTCCTCATAAGATTAATTGGCTTTAGATAATTTCAAAATCTGATCTGAAAAATTTGAAAAAAAATAAAAAAAAATAAATAAATATATATATATATATTTCACAATAAAGCTAGTAAACAGTTTTAAATGTTTGTTCAGAAGAGCCGAATACTTGTAAACAAAATATGTAACTGTATTTCTGTTTTTGTTTTTACTTTACTTGTACATATACATTTATATAATTATACCTTATTTGACACCAGTCTCTTGCGATTTTTAAAATTTCTATTCATTTATATGTTTTTTCATTTTTATAGTTTTTAGTACTCTTTGTAAAATGTAAAATAATTAGCGATGTGTGAGCTACTGTGCAATTTCCCTTGTGGATCAATAAAGTTTGCTAAATCCACGTAAGTCTAAGTCTAAATCTACATTTTTACGGTCTGGTTTACATAATCCCATATTCCTCACTATTCCTATTTCTTAAAAGATGAAACATACTTTTATTAAATTAAAAAGTGTATATAGGCGGTAGTGACGAGGCTCTCCGCGCAGTCGGAGCAGTCACACTGGGTGACGTGGGAGTAGGTGTAGTTGCGGTTGGTCTGGTCTGAGCAGCGGAGGGTCACAGCTCGAGGCTCTGAGCGCGTCTCTTTACAACAACGTCTGCTCTGCTCCACATTCAGATGATCTCCATACAGCACCATCCTGCAGCAGAGAGACATCACTCACTCCTGCACTGTACACACTCAGGTCATAGAGGTCGTCTTACATATAACTGTGGATTTATTTATTTGAGTGCTGGCAGTGACTACTTGCACACATACATTTATATAAGTATGCCTTATTTGACTCCAGTCTCTTGCTATGTCTGCTGCTTATTTAGAATTCATTATTATTACCATCAATTTTTTTTACGCTTTGTTATTATATTTATTGTTGATGTGTGAGCTACTGTGTCTAAATAATTGCCCTTGTGGATCAATAATTGGTATGAATGTGAGAATGTATTTATATTTATCAATTTTTATTGCTATAGATTTGCTCTGTCAAAGTTGTTGTATTTTGTACAATGACAATAAATCTAAATCTAAATCTAATCTAATAAAGTTCGTCTAAATCTAATGGAGGGTCCACCAAATGCTTGTCACCATGGAGATGTTATTCCCTTTGCCTGGAATGTTCCATGATATAGAGCAGAATCCCAGAATGCGCTTTGCAAATGCGTTGGCACATTTTGATTGGCTTGTTGGCTTGTGACAAAAAAAAAAAAAATATATATATATATATATATATATATATATATACACATTTAACAGGAGTTCAAAAGCTACAGATAAGCTATAGAGACTTGATTTATTTAAAATGTTATTATTTTATATTATGCTCATTCTGGATTCAATGTTTAAGCAAAACTATTATTAAACATTTATTTTAATAAGAAAAGTTTTAACATTACATATCTCCAAAGAAGAGAAAACATGCAGATGGTGTTGAAATTTTTCAATGACATTTAGTTTGGCCCACGACTTAGTCCCAGTTTTTAATTTGACCCTCTGTGAATTTGAGTTTGAGTTACAAGTTACAGGTCAGATCTGTGGAGAGGCAACCTCGCTCACAGTAAGAATACGTGTTTAGCAGGTATTTGTCTAACAATACAAACACCTGTGACTGAATATATACAAAAGAGACTAATCAAATTCCACTGGGGAATAGTCAAGGCAAAGCAATAAAATCTACATGGAGACAAGCAGGTGACGGACCCTCCACCTGAAAAGTCACATATTGCGTCTTTTAAAGTGGTTTAACCCAATGTTATGAACTGGAGACTGATCACATGATAAGTAAACTGACTGTGCCGTTTATATTCCCATACCCATTTTCAAATCATTTATTACCTCCGCCAAGGAGGTTATGTTTTTGCCGGTGTTTGTCTGTTTGTTTGTTTGTCTGTTAGCAACATAACTCAAAAAGTTATGGACCGATTTTGATGAAATTTTCAGGATTTGTTGGAAATGTGAAAAGGAAGAACTGATTTCATTTTGGGGGTGATCCGGAAGAAATCCTGGATTCTGGATCACTTTGAAATTTTAGTTAACATTGTGGTAAATGGGGCCAAAAATTTTGTTTCTCAATATCTCGGTTAATTATTGACCAAACCCCATGAAATTTGACTCAGGGATGGACAATGGGATCCTCTTTCATATTCCAAAGGCTGATCCGGATCTGATCCAGAAGACTGATTTTATCGCAATTTATATAAAAAATGGGGGTAGTCCTTGGCGGAGGTCTGCGCTCTCTGAGTGCTTTTCTAGTTTAGAATTGTTTCCCATTTAATTTGCACAAATAATGATTCTGATGACCTGATCCTGTGATTAGGCAAAGTTCTGGGGACCCCTTACAAAACCCAAAGCACTATGCCCCCATGCTCATATAAAACAGAGTGCAGTATTCATTGTTTTGAATAATATTTTTATATGTTCCTCTCTCACCTGTGCCCGCTGGAGCAGAGGCCGTCACACACAGGGACCTGGAGCTCAGAGAAACACTCCTCTGCATAAACCATCAGAGAGGTCATCACAGGAGCACAGCTACAAACACCTGCAAAATATCATTCGAACATTTTGTCACTGTCTATACTGCCCCCAGGTGGACACTCTCTGCAAGTACACCTCAGGAAGTACAATGCAACAAGTTGACAAAACACAATACGAGCTATTAGCTAAGATACTGGTAACTCACACGTGAACAACAAAAGCTGTATTCAAGTCTTAGAATTGGTGGCTTAAAAGATACTTCAACATTGTTTCTGTTGAACTAAATTCAGCATGAATCTGTATCAAAATCACAAAATTTGAAGCTTTATTACTTTATTATCTTAAACTCTGCGAAAAATACTTTTACTTAAGTAGATTTTTTCATGTGATACTAGTATTTTTTTCCAGTATCTGTACTTTTACTTAGTACTTCTTCTACCACTGACAAGAAAGTTACTCAATTATAAATAAATAAAAAAACAAAAAACAACAAAAATATTAAATAAGGCCCTCAATCAGGTATTTTCAAAGGATTGGCCACAAAAATGAGAAAGAGCAGCCAAAAAGTTTACTCCAGCAATAGTAATTTTACAGTCTGAAAAACTGAAGTAAATGTAATGTAAGGTACTGAAGTAAATGTAATTGAGGGCTACCCACTTCTGCATGTGAAACAGCAGTGATGATCATCCCAAATCTTGTCCTCCTGAAAAGAAAACATTGTTTCATTCACATGTTTAACTCACAAACCCTGTATCCGTATCCATACAGCTTCACAGGAATTATTTGGATAATTTCAGGCCTGAAATTTTCAACCTATACTAAACAAAAGTTTAAACTATCACTGCAAGACCTCAAAGGTGGAACAGGGCATTTTGAGCTTTGAAAATATAGACAGACTGATTGGGCTACTCAAACATGTGAGAATGAAAAACACACACAGAACACACAATGTATGGTTCCAGGTATGTTTTGATGAGTTCTTTATAACATGGCTTAAAGCTCAGAAGAGTCAATTTAGAGTAATGTAGGACCTTTAAAATTATACCAGATCCATCATTCACTAGTCCTTTATATAAAATAGAAACAGACTCAGTACCTCGGGGCAGTGTTGTGGTGAACAGACTTTAGTTTCATTTTGGATGCCTTCAGGGTTGCATATGAAGGACATACACGGCTCTTCACTATCTCTCCATGTTTCTCCAACCTACAAATGCAAAATTCAGAAAAAATAAACACACTTTAAAATAATCACTTTGCTATGTTGCATATCAAAGCTTGTATTTAATAACTGCATACTTACTGTGTAATTTCTTCCTTTGTAGAAGCACTTCTTCTCAACTAAAAGAATATTAAGATATTTCAATGACATTTGTTATGAAGAAAAAGAAGTGGAGCACTTCACTGGGCCTTAAAAGAGTAAAAAATAGCAGTACAGGTGCTCTACGAGGGTTGAAAGAGTAGTCTTTAAACAGAAAGTTACCCTTACTGGAAAAAGTAAAAATGGGCAAGGTACAAACCCGAGGCACTCTGACTGAGTGCAATAAAGTCCTTTATTGCATGAAGGGACACCAACGCGTTTCGACCAGCAAGATGGTTTTCGTCAGGGCAAAGTAGTCCTGACGAAGACCATCTTGCTTTTAATATATTCAGTCAGACTGCCTCGGGTTTGCATCTTGCCCATTTTTACATTTTCCAGAAAGGGTAACTTTCTGTTTAAATGACATTTGTTAGTTAGTAGCAAACTCAAGTGGCCAATACTAAAGATTTTTATTTCTGATTCAGAAATAAAAACAAATGCAGTTTTTCCATTTTTAAAGGTTCTATATTACGCAAAATTGACTCTTGTGAGCTTGAATCCGTGTTAGAACATTGTTACCT